ATCCTACGGAATGAGTCATTCATCATGGCAACCAGCATGTTTAAGGCAACTGTCCCTGTGCAGATCACGTAAGCTCCCATGAAGATCCTTCCAAACTTGGTAACCAGGAGAAATTCTCGATCCCATATCAAACTCACGGGGTACAAATAGTCTTAACATGAATATAGTGACCACGCCCACTTCAACACCCCACTCAAATTGAGTGTTATTTTCGAACATTTTACCATCGTGCGGATTCTCTACGGAAAAAGCACTCAATGTACCTCTGAAATATTAAACTATAATATTGTGGCTTCCTATTTCGCTAATTTTCTAACTTGAAGGTAAAGTTTTTCCCTCGTCATTTGAACCTTTTCTCCGAGCGGTTGCGTGAAATTAACAAGGTGTTTTTGCGAAGCGAAGCGTCTCGGGCGATATCCCTTTTACGCAAGCGCAATTTAAAAATGTACCGCCAGAATCAAAAAAAGGAACAAATTTCCTTTTTTTGATATGTAATGTGTCGAATAAAAAGCAGATTTACCCTCGTCAAATGGCGTTTCAAAACAGCTGTATCTTCCTCCTTTTGATTTTTTCCTGTTTTGTGAGCGTGAAAGCATTAGAAGAGGGATCGGGAAATTCAGAAAGCACTTCGGGAATTAATCTGCCATTGTTTATTTACGAGATAAACAAGTAAGAGTTGTGAAGTTCGTCGCAGTATGAAGTCTAAATAAATGCCTTTTTTAAGCTTGTTCGCTGGATTTTTCGTAAACTTTCCTAATTAATTTTTTCGTTTCAGCTTACTAATCTATACTATTTCAAAGCAAAGAAGTTTTCAGAGAAAACCATGAGTCGGTCCTTTCAATAATTGTAAACAAAGTGTTTGAGCAATCAGGTATACGAGGTATAATAATCAATAGCCATATATCAGAAGTCTTCAGAAAGAAAATATTCTGTTCTCAGAAAGCTGTCAAGAAAGTTAGTAATCGTGGCAATTAAATGCACTTCTTAGCAATTTGGAAACGGGCCCTCGGTATCGATTTAAGGTGTATTACAACGAGGTTGATGTACATCAGCTTAAAGATGAGAACAGCCAGTTGAGGGGAGAAAAAATAAAATTGCGAGTGGATAAAAAAGCCTGAGAAGCTCTCGAGAAAGCTGAGAAGAAAGGAGCCTTCTACAATAAAAAATTTATTCAGTTGGCCAAAAAAGTGATTACAAATGGGAAAAAAGGTAGAGGCCCAGCTAAGAAGAAGTTTAATGACTATTCTAAGCACCAACAAAAGAGAATTAAAAACCAACTGAAGGAGGAGTGCCAAACTACACTCTCCTTTCTTGGGCTGTACAATTTTGTTGCAACCAAAATTGAAGTCCTCAACACTGAGACTAATCAATATGAAACTTTCAATCTTGTTGGAGAGGGAGAGCTGCCATTTACGGAGTCTGACCCAGAGGCCCTTAATATTGATGACATTGATAACATAAATATGTGGCTCTACCTCAAAGATAAATTCATTATTTCAAATGAGGCCTGGCATGAAATTGCCATTAAGGCTAATGATCTCCCCAATATATATTCCATCAAGAAGCAAATTAATGAGCTAAACAGTGAATGGAACTTGAAACCAACACCAGGAGATGCTGAAGGTGTTCAGTTAGGATTTGCAGAAAGCTTGCAAGAGCACATTGTTAGGCTTCAGAAGAATGGAGAAATCAATGATGAAGAAACTATTAAGATCAAGCTTAGTGGTGATGGTACAAATATTGGAAAGGGGCTTACAGTTGTCAAATTCACTTTTATTATTCTCCATGAAAGGGATGTGGCCATGGGTGAGAAGGGAAATTATACACTTGCTGTTATAAAAACTACAGAGACATATGATAATCTGAGAGACAGCCTAGCAGACCTTCGAATGGAAATGTCTAACTTAAAGGAGATAAGTGCAAATAATTGCACCTATAAAATTGAATACTTTTTAGGCGGAGATTTGAAATTTTTAGCACTGGTATGTGGTTTAGGCTGGGCAAATGAGGATTATGCTTGTGTGTGGTGCAAGTGTCCCAGGGAGCAACAGTGGGACACAAGCAAAACATGGTCAATTAATGACCCCAAATTTGGTGCTAGAACTGTCACTGAAATAGCAAGGTTTTCCACTGGAAAGAAATTAAATTGTAAGGCACAACCATTATTTGATTTTATACCTATGGACCATGTCATCATAGATACATTACATTTTTTTTCTGAGGATTTCAGATGTTTTGATTGACTTGTTCATGAGAGAGCTGAGAAGAAGTGATGCTATTGAGAAAAAAAAAACCTCTGATGGATTCCCAAGGGATAAATATAAACACATGGCATGTTATGAAGAATTTATCAAAAGTATGGGAATCACTTTTAATTTTAGAATCAACAAAGAGAGCAAAAAGCTGGAATATAGAGATCTTACTGAACCAGAAAAGTTGAAACTCTTTCAGAATATAAACATTCCGACCTATGCTTGTCCCTCATTACAGTCAAAACAAAGACATACAAGTGATCTGGGCTAAATTTATGGACATAATTGGTGATTTGAAGCTAGATTTTACATCTGAAGAGGGTATTCTTGAACTGCAAAGAAATATCAAATCATGGTTTGAGCACTTTCTCAAAGTTTACCAAGCAAAAGATGTCACTCCCTACATGCATGCACTATGTTATCATGTTCCAGAGTTCCTGTCACTTTATCAGAACATAGCATATTACACACAGCAAGGCTTGGAAAAAAAACAATAGTAGAGCTTCTAAAGATTTCTTCAGATCCACAAATTACAAAGGGGTTGATGCCCTCAAACAACTGTTTCTGAAGAAAAACAGGATTTAGTTCCTGGAGGCAGCCGGTTATGAAAGGGTTAAGAACACCTACAACGATGAGCTTGTATTCAATGATTGGACTTCTTAGTCCCAGCCAATACTTAATAGTTCCTGGAATTACATAGGCAAAATCTTCAGCTACATTTAAAATTCTTTCATCCCACTTCAGCCCCAGATATGAATCAAGCACCCTATTTGACTCCAATTGGTAAACCATCTTCCCTCTTTGAAGAACGCCGGGCAAAACACTCCCAAGACCTTCCATGAAAATATCTTGGTCAACATTAAGGTCTATGTTTATATCAGGGTCCTCTCGCCGTCCAGACCAAAGCTTTTTCTTTATTTCACGAGCAAGTTGGCCATGGAACGATTCTTTTCTATCCTCTAGAGAGTTTTCCGAAGGAATGAACAGCTTTTAAGCATGTGCTATAGCCAACGTAATGAATTTTCAACCTCTCTTGTTGATTTTGTCAACCTCCCTGATCTCAATATCATACAGTTTTGTATCTTTCTATCGTGGATTCGCCTTTCTAACGGGGGTGTATGTTAAGTATTTATTGCAAAATCGCTTTGCTTTTTTTATTTCCCTCTTTAAGCTGTCCGCCATTTTGACGGAGAGCACGCGCATTACGTAGGGTTAGTGGTCGCGTACACCTGGAACCGAGAAAAACAAATGTTCGTCGCGCTGGGGAAAGAGTTTGATATGCTCACTGAGATGCTCTTTTCTTCTCCACCACCACCAAATAAAAACCAAGACAAGCCAATGAAAGTGTTTACATGCCTGAAATATATAACGTAGCGAGCATATTTAGTAACTCCTCATTTGCGCGAGTTTAAAAATATCAAATGATAGCTAGCGTGCGGAACTATGGGAGTAAGACACACGAAAAGTACTCTCAGAGTTCCGCGCGGCACGCTAGCTACCATATCTTTTTCGCTGTTTTTTTTAACTTGAAACGGTTTTTTCCCTACCTGCAAATGAGTCACTTACTCGCTCTTTAATGTGTAAATACTGTTGGTTAACACTGGTAACGATACTGTGGTTCTGAGAAGAACTGTTGTCGATGGCGGTGACTAACGTCTCGCCAACCTGAGCGGAAGTCATCATCAGAGTCGTATAAACTGATTGGTCAGTTTTGCCGTGATGTTATTAGCCGTAAGACTTAAGTGGAGTAAGACGGTTATGATTGGTCTGTTTGGATCCGAGGGTAACATTCGGTCGTTCTGGTCGTTTTTTTTGCTATGTTGATATTGTGCTGAAGTCGTTTATATGGTGTCGGTACCAGCTGACACCTGTGGAGATTAGTCTATTCTAAGTTATTATACCAACTTTCCAATTAGGTTAGGCATTACGCAGAGTCTTAGTCAAAAGTGTGGTTCGTAAGTCAATGACGTTTAGCAAAGTGATTGTTGACATCACCTTTCCTCGTCGCTCGCCTGTGTTCAATCAGTCTTGTTGTGAGGTTTCTGCCAGTCTCCCCGACGTAGGAGGCGTGGAAGTCGGAGCAATTGATCTCATAAACCGCTTCCTGTCTGTTCCTCGCGCTGTTCCTCTTTGTGTTTGGCGTTTGTTTGTAACTGGCCAAGTGTGGTAGTGGGTTTATGGGCGATGCGGATATTGAAGGGTTGTAAGTTGCGCGAGATGTTCTCAGACTTGCCCTTTATGAACGGTATAGTCGTTGTAGTGGTAGGATAAGTGTAGGATAAGTAGTCTGTCGTGTTGCATACTAGCCGCACTCGTCTTGTTAGTTGTGGCTTTGTGTGATTTCGGGTTTCCTGAGTCTGTTTCTTGCAAACTGTCGTCCGTAGTGAGTTGTCGTCACGGCTTCCTAGGCAGACTAGAAAAAGAAGTCACCATTTTTTTCGACTTCTCTGGCAAACTGTTTGTTTGAGGAACGCTCCCTATTGACTTACCGACGAACGATACCGTTTTGGCTAGGCAACGTTGACGATATATTCACCGCCGTGCGACACGACGAAATCGACGCATTCCACCACAACCCTAACGGACGAAACACTGACATACAGTTTACCAGAGATGAAGTTCGCAAACGGAAATTCCATAAACGCAGGATATTATGTTTTACTACGGGGTTGGATGATTACCATCTTTCTGGGTTTTTCTGTGACTTTCGGGAAGCTTTCGAGACCGAAAAAACCTCGCAACTTTTTTGGAGTTCTTTTAGTCACTTTAATCTTTACCATGCAAGTTTTGCTACAAGACTACTAATTTCAATTTGACGAACATGTTTCCTTTCTAGATTATTCTATCCATAAGTTGGCCTTAGCTATTCTTAGATTTTGGACTCGCGCGACAGCCTTCGCCGAAGAGGAAGGACTGCTCGTAGCACATCATCTTTTTGTCTTGTCAAGTCATCATCAAACGCAACAGGAGACATATGGGCTCCATGAACAAAGATCTTGACTGAAAAGGTCTTGACTGAAAAGGTCTTGACAACAATGGCTAGTCAACAACTGTGGCCAAATCACTCGTTCCTTATGTATAAGTATTTGGAGTCTGAAACTCAACCTCCTTGTCTGAGAATAGAAAAAAACTAGCAGGAACCAAGTTAACTAAAAGTAACAGAATACATTCCGATTAAACTGGCGATACCAGCCTCTCTGGATCTACTAGCTTCCTTGGCTCATCTTCAGCTATTTGCTTCTAGCTTTGATTTGTTTAACCCTTTAAATCCCAGAAGTGATCAACATGTAACTTTTACTTAATATACATACATCATCCAGCCTACATGTGCTTCTGTTCAGTAATAGATCACAGATGACATCAAGTTGTGATAAGAACCTTAAACGGAACGTAAAAAATACGGCCGAGTGTCCTGATATTCTTATCATATTTTGGTGTCTTCTGTGATCGATTAGGGACCTTTAGCAGTTAGGACGGCAACGCCAAGGAAGACGTCTATTTAAAAATGAATACAAATTTTTAGTCGGAATTTCGCGACTGACTGGATGTGTTTACCATCTCTTACGACGCCGTTAGTTAACCTTAGCATAAAGAATGAAGGCGGCGTTGAGTTCCAAATAGAAACTGAAATAATTTGCCGTTAGGGTTTCCTTTCTCGTACCACGCAAATTTTGATGATTTCACGTTGTTATTTTGCAGAGAACGGCGAAGAAATGTGCACAGTTTTAAAATGCACGTGCTGAGTGAGCCATTGTACTGCTCGTTAGATCTTTTGTTTCGTCACGTCCTCGCTGCCATCGCCATCGTGGTTTGCTTAAGGTCCCTATCAGTCTAGAATAAACCCACGGCACCATGGAATCTATCTGTTTTATATGATAAAAAAGAAAGTGTTGCTAATAGTGACGTCATCTATGCGTCTGTCCTCCAATAGATCATGAGAAAAAACAAATCAAATGCATGCGTAATCTAACTTAGTAAGTAATCATCAGTCAAACCTTCTAGAACCTGGTGTATTTCGAAATACCGATATATAAACCTCCCGTCTTTCAAAGTGGTTTAGCCAATCTTAAGCTAATATCGTGGTAACACTCAAGCAAAGATAGATACTTTGGAATGGAGAAGATGGAGTTGAAACTGCATCTCTGAGAGCATACTTTTTAAAATTTTCTGATTTCAGAAATTAATCATCATTCTTAGAGTAACAGTTGTGGTCATTACAAATTTGGGGACCTCTGTTGGTAATAGCCGTTTTTAAAACGTTGAAGTTGGCTTCTCAACTTTTTTTTACCCTAAAAACTTTCGACTCTGTATATCATTAAATCTTCACTAGCTTTCCTACAGTATGTACATCCGTCAACTCTGGCCTTAGTGAAAGACTACCATCTAGCATCAATAAACGAAAACTGTACGGACTACGGTAAAACATCGGTCTGTTCGCATTTAAAACAAAACAAAGCAAACAAGGATTATCTTCAGCCTGAGCATACTGATGGTAGATCTCTTTCAGAGTCACTTCGGGCAGTTTTCGCCCTACATTCATTCCATTTGGCTTCGTAGTGCTTTTTCAGATATTCTACGACCAAAGTTTTTACTGCGTCAGGGCGGTCCTGTTTCATTGACTAGAGTGAAACGTAAGAATAATTAATTAAATGGCATTAGTATTAGTACACGAGAGCTTGCCAATAAATTGCATAATCATCACCATTAAAATCTCCTCAAATGTGATTGGTGCATCAGCTGCTTTATTTTTCACTAATCATTCTGTAGAGTTGTAATTGGACAGTGGAATCGTAGAGTTGGCTTAAATCAGAAACCTGTAATCAGAAACCTGTAATCGGACAGTTGAAGCAGCCAATCATACTTAGTCCTTTCAGTCAAATCCACCAATCACAGAATTAATCACAATAACCAAAGCAAAAATCATTTATCCAAAAAAAAATCATGGAACTTCCAAAATTGAGGAATTTTTTTTCTTAGAGAATGTCTCTTCTGCACATATTTTGTCCTAAATGTATTTTTTGTTTTCGGAAATTGTAACAGTTAACTAACAGTTGGTAACAGGACTTTGTGTCGTTCAATTCTGTCTGTGATCATACTCGTGATTGACAAATCGGACTCTCGCTTCGCTGTCGTCCGATTTTGTTAATCACTCGTATGATTACGGGCCAAATTGGAGTCCACTCGGTCCTATTACTTTCGTTAATCATGTTGATCGTGGTGGTAACCAGCATTCATCTACCGAGGCTTCATTAGGAATGTTTCGAACAAGGTTGCTTTGAGTTAAAACTATCGTTTAGATTGAAAGTCCTTACTTTCCTTCTGATCCTCAGCTAGATAAAGTGGAGACTAGAGAAAATTGTCTTCTATTCGCTCGATTCAGATATTTCACCTTAGTATCATATACTCAGGTGAATAGTGCTTTTCGAGTGCGCTGATTGGCTAGTTCGGAGGTAATTAGCAAGTACCATTCTACTCGGAATAGCCAAATAAGCAAAATCGCGCGTCAAGGGTTAGGTTAATATCTTTCGGTATATAGGGAGATATAAAGTATTGTTTTAGTTTCTGTATGGTATATACTAAAACAATTATTCACCCCATTGTCGGTAGAAGTGGTGGATATTACCTCGCAGCTTTGCGGCTCGGTAAATGTCTATCGCTTTTACCCCCATTTAGTTGAAAATTTGTCAATTTCATTTATAATCCATCAAATATCCACTTATCATGCTTTACAAGTGTTTGAGCCAACCTTTTTGTCCTGCTAAAAAATTAATAATAAAAAAAATGCTGGAAGGCTGATGAACATGGTAGGATCTTTTTGGCTCCAAAATATTGCCGTATAGATGTCGTGGGACATCTAGATATGTTCCTTAAATTACTCGATCTCTCGGAGTAATTATTGATCGTGTACAAATATCCATGCATAATTTGCCCCAAATAGATTTTTTTTGTTAATTTAGTGTCAAATCCCACCCAAGTGAAGAGTTCATTTCGTGAACGTCGATTAGTTAGCTCTGAGTCAGTTAATTAGTTCAATCAGTCTCTGAATTTTTCAAACTAGAGTTATGTTATTCTTTTATTACGGCGGCTGTGGTTACTTAACGATATGTTACACTTTCAGAAATATTTCCAAATAAACAAATGTACAAAAATTTGCGAAGGATACCTTCTTATCGAAAGTTTCTGAGTCCTTGCTGTCGTCACATCGTTCAAAATTGCTTCCGGGAATATCTTCTATTGAGACTTCGTTGTTCTGTTTTTTATTAAAAAGAATAATAAATTCACGTATATGGTTAACAAACAGATTCCATTTGACCTACTTCTTTTCAGTTATGGATCTTAAATGACGTCAAATTGTAGTAGACTGAACGCACGCTGACGTTTGCATTCGAATAAACCAACTATGGATATTATTCACCATCAAATGGGCATCCAAATCATCGCACAATCTCTTAATTTTTCTTGATTTTCTTACCTAATTTTTTTTTTTTACAAAAATTAGACTGATTTCTTCACCAGGATAACATTTTAAATTGGAAATGAGTGTTAAAGATTTTGTTAACTACGCACTACTTATTACGTGCTCTAATTGGCTAGACAAACGATTTGAACTGGCCAATTGAACCAGTCGGCTCTCTGTACGCTCAAACGCTGGATGCCAAAATTAAATATTACGGGACATTCATTTGGATCATTAAAAGAAGAATAAAGTAGGGGCGGTGAAGTTTAAAATTAAATTTCGTACCTGTTCACCTTTGAAACACAGTGATTTACGAAAGAGGCACCGAAACGGAAAGAAAAGGTAGAGAACGACGTATGGAATATTGAATGGAACCGGAACAGAGTTGCCTTTGTCGATCCATTCCAGCCACATTTGGGTTCTTGAGAATTTCCACTCTACAACAGCGTTTTTCTGAGAAAAAGTGCATATGTTACGTTTAACTGAGCATTGAAAAAACAGACAACAACTTGCATCATGTACAGAGACTAGAGCTCAGTGGTTGGTGATTTCAATGTGAAGTTGGGGAAATTTCCCTAACTAAGGCTTGCAGGAGAGGTTATCGTCAGACTTGTTTCTTAGCGTTCTTAATTTATAGCAGGGGGAAGAGGGGTGTCCTAAGGTTGTTTAGTGGAACCGGTACCTTGCATTTTAACGTAATCATCTCTTTTGCATGTGACTCTGAAACGATTTCGGCGATCTTCTTTTTCTAATATTTAGTCTGAATTGCCATAGTGATAGTTTTGTTACCTTAAAAAATAACTAATGAATAAATTCAGTTTTTATTATCTGAGTTGATAATGTATAATGGTCATCTAGAAAGTTTCTACGGTCGATTTTCCGAACGTCAGCTTTACGTCACAGTACCCTTCGTCTTTTCTCGCTAACAAAGAGATAATAACGCTCGAGACGTCAGCTTTAGAAACTCGTTACGGTGAGCAATTTATGTCATCAACTCAGAACAGTTAATAAGAACAAATTAACTTTTAAAAGAAGCTTGTACCGTGATTGCAGAGACACCTAAACTTTTGTCAGTTTTTTTTGCGTTAACTTTTCAGCTTTTGTCTCTGGTTTGTTTGTAGAATAACTTAGCACCAAAATAACCCTTTAAAATTACCTTGATTTTATGGAATGAGTCGTTCATCATAGCAATCAGCATGTTGAGGGCAACAAGGATGGTGCATATGACGTAGGCTCCCATAAATACTCGACCAAACTTGGTAATGAGCATGAAGTCTTGATCCTGCACTGAAATGCTCTCCTCCTGTCCACCACCACCAAACAGCAACCAAAACAAGACAATGAAAGTGTTGGCATGTCTGAAAAAAGATGTGAGAACGAAATGTTATCTCAATTTTTTCATGGAAACTAATGTTATAGCCATGGACTAGGCTCTGCGATCAATATGAGTTCATGACTAATCAAATTTTGCAACGGGCGAACAACTTTGAAATATATATAACAGGTGTCGTCAGTTCCCGTTTTTTTTTAGGTTTCTCTCGATCGTCTGTGATCGTCTCTTAGTTCGCAAAGGAGAGTTAAAAGGTAGTGGGGGAATAAAAATACCCAGTATTTTGGGAAATATTTCAAGTTTTTCAATCATGGAAACATGTTATTAAAATAAATTTTAAGCACGAAACAAAATAGTGTTCAGTAATAGTTTGAAACCGAAACCTAGCTCGAGAACGACCCCTGAGAAAAATTCAAAGATATACTGGAATACTCACAAAGCTAATGGATGAGAAACTTGGTGGTCAGTGGTTGTGGTGTCCCGCTTTTGGAGCTCGATTTGAGAGGCAACATAATACGAGTAAATCTTGGCCACCCCAGTAGCAAACGCAAAGTAGAGAAGGAGGAAGATGGCAAGAAACTTAAGGACATCTCTCAGCATTTTGTAAAGTGACAGCTGTAAGGGACCCAGCGTTGAATTGACCTGGAAAAAGTGTGCCAAGTGAAAATAGGCCACGACGCAGGCACTGGCATAAATGCCATCTGCATAGATGAAAACTTTTTTTTCAGGCTTCCACTCTCCGTAAACGCCCCACGCGATCAACCATAGACCGTAGGCCCCTATGAATGCGAGGATAATCACTGTATCAACAACATTCCACCACTTTGAGAAGTAAATGAAAGCACCTTGCCTCCAGGCTTCCACGATTTCCTGTATGAGAAGGCCGAGGACGAAGTGCATTATAACCAAATCTGTGGGTAGGAGTAAGTAATCAAGTTATAAGTAAAGCTGTTGTACAAGGATCAATTGCAAACTCCGAAATGCTTGCACTCCATAGCAGCTCTCTTCTGAATATGTCCCCTAGATCTTGTCAGGTATGAAAACAACAGGCAAGCGTTGTAGCTCACCTGTTATGATGGCGCTTACGGATATTTCTGTGTAGTATAACTGCTCAGGTGTGTATAGAAATGCACGCACTCCAATGGCTTTAGAATTGCGCGATATCTCACCATAATCACCTCGCGCGAGGTGATTATAGCAGGGGCCCATTTCAAAACGGCTCCCTCGCGTTTTGTCAAAGTTACGAAGGAAGTGATAAACATGAGAGAAGAAAATCTAATTCTGAGGAGCACAAGAGATGCCACTAAGTTTGGATGAACTCTTTTCAAAAAAAAGATATGGAGTTTTCCTGATTGAACAAAATATACCTGTTAAATTCTAATGGAAACTGGTTCCTTATCTCTATACGAGGACTCTAAACAATTATTACAGGATGGTTTCAACAGCAAAACGAATTACAACAGAATTCGGAAGCACTTGAACAATTATACTAGACAATGAATCACTTCATGCTCATTGAATGTAGTTGAAAAATCCCCTCGACAATCTTACTTTACCCTCAGCAATTAATTGTTAATTATAGCCCACTCATTTATTTCCAACTGATTCTATTGGCTAATTTTCTTCATGTGGTACCGTTTACATCAATATTTGTGCTTCGACTATTTCCGTCGAAAAGAAACACAGGCAAGGGAAAAAACCAGCTCAGGGGTTTCACTTTTTCATTTTTATTACGGTTCATGGAAGGAAAAAACGAACTGTAGAGTCCAGTGATAGTGACATTAAAAAGCTGATCTCAAATACTACTTTGAAAAGTACAAAAAGTCAACAAAATTTGCTGTCAACCCGCGGTACGAAAATTAATGAGAGGGTTAAAAAGTAAATAAACTCTCTTCTGGCTTGCCGTTATGTCTGCTGATAATATCCTAGGCTGAGGGATTGCCCTCGTAGTTTTTCTCCTCGGCCAAATAGTCATTTTTCATAAACCAGCCGTGGACATTATAGCCGACATGCCAGCCGCATAAAGGATGATTTATTTACTTAATATTTGTCAAGTGTTAGAAAAATAGATGCATTTGAATTGCAAGTCATGAAGGGCCGAGCCTTATTTTCTCAACTACCTACAATGTCTGTCATGATTTTATGTTTCCAAGGAAATGGTTCTCTGAGTCTAATACTGAAGTTTTCGATGTATCTTCGTACTAATTTACAATATTGGGCCTCTGAAACAGTTGGACTCAAAAGCGCTTCAATTCCTCTGGTTTTATTGGTGGAAGGTGGCAAGATAAAATCCCGACTTTCTGTGTTAAGAAATTTCCTCTTACAGTACTTATTTGGATTTTGCGTGACGACTAACTATCAAAATAAAATATATCTTACACAAGTTTCCGTTTCGCCCTTTAAAGAAGCCAAGATTTGAAATGAATCATTCACATGAAATCAACTTACCAATCCACGTAAGGCCTGCACCACCAGGCCCATACTTGTGCTCAAAAGATGAACCAAAGATTAAAGCCAAAAATATTATGTATGACAAGGTGTGGTTAAGAAACTTCGAGTAAGGATGCTCATATAGCATTATCAGCCAGTGGTACAGCTCTCTCAGGCAGTTGGAGTCACATCCGCGGCAGCACGGGAAATTCTTGCGAATTAACTTAAGTGGGATGTAAAAGGGGATCATAACGCTGACCTGTAAAAGTTGGAGCAAACACCAGAATGTTTTAATCCCGATTCCCATATTTCGCCAACCAGGGATTCCGTAGTAGATGACTTCGTCAAGAACAAATTGACAGTTTGGGCTTGCCACAAACTGAAAATCAAATAGAACCAAAGTGAAACTGCAGTCAAAATGAAATTCCTTGCGAGTGGCTTTGTGCAAAAGAAGGCGTGAAATAATTCTAACGTTTGTCAATGCAAGACGACAGACAACGATTGGCAAGTGTTAGAGAAATGTTTGGTTTATTATGAGAAAATTCACTTCCCTGAATTGATGCTGAGATCCAGCATCATCAACAGGTTTGAGAATCGCTTGGTTACTCGTTATTGAGGGCAAGACTTGGAAAAAACATACCACTTTAGATTTGCAATGAAATCCAATTTTATGTTCAGCCATTCTCTTATTCCGATCGAGGTTAATTTAATGTTTGCAAGCGAGGTTTCGTCGAGGGTTAATACCGTCAAATAAACCGATAAAGGTTTAAATTTGCTTTTGCGTCTCGCGTCCTCTTTGTGAAAGAGTCTGGCGCTGCCTAGCCAAAGTAGTTTAATGCGTTTTTAGTGCTGCTGTAGCGTAAAATGACTGAAATTTCCAATCGACGCCACCCTTAAAAGTGTTCTGGGTGATCATCTTAGAATGCATAGAGGCGGAGAGCCGGGAACGACTGAAAATTAACAAATAAATGGAGTGTACCTCACGAAAGACACTGTTGAAATTGAAAGACATTAAGTCTTCGAATTGTCATTTTCCTTTCCCTGTCTTTTCCTTTACGTCAAATAAGTCTAATGTTTCCGGTATATGAGCTAGATCCTGCATACATAATGAGCTAAATAATAGATCAATTCCTTACTTTCGCAAATTAAAGTCGAAAATTCCGGCCCAAAATTCTTCATGAGAAGCCAAAATTTTGTTTTAGAGGTGCTTAAACAAACACTGAAACTTTGTTTCAAAGTTTCAGTGTCTATTTAATACAACGATATTTAATCAACATGGAAGACAATACCCAACTACAGAAAAACTTCTTTTTTTCTTTTGGAGCACGTGCACATTCCGAACACTGTGATTGGCAGCTGTCAGAAACACTACATCTCTCCCCTTCTTGATTATAAACTTTTAGATACGTGTATATCTAAAAAATCGACTTAAACAACGTATCTCTAATAGTTAAAAACGATAAACTGGAAGGTGTTTAATTGTCACAAAGTTCAATTGTTGGGCTTGGAGAACTTGGTACTTGCCTAGTTCCGAAACTTCTGCTGTTAAATCTTCGTCTGCCTGCTCTTGTGTTATCTTTTAAGCATTCTTAATGTGGCTGGGGGTAACTTTGAACATGGATGAGTTCCGCGCGACAGTTTTGTTCCCATCGCTTGCCGTAACCATAGATCCGTTTTTTTCTTAAACCACGAGAGGTAATTGACTGAACGGGGGGCTTAGCTTGTTGCGTTTTGGTGCTTGATTAGAACTGTGTCTCTCTCTGACTCCTAACTTTTGGTCTGCATATGCTTTCATCTTCATCTTCTGTTCTGCATCCCTATCTGTCGTGTTCTTCTGTTTCTCAAGAACTGGTGGTGTCTCTTCTAGTAGAGAAGTCTTAAGCTTCCTCTGGTTAATCCATGAGAGTTCTTTTTGATATGTGCGCTATATTAATACTGGTTATTATTATGTTAAGTGCTTCACATGGTGAGATGTCTGTGGTCGAGTGAGGTGTCGCTCGATACTGTAATAGAAACTTATAGAGTCCTTGTTTCCAGTTCTTGTGCCTAACGGTGGCGGCTCTCACGCATTTCTTTAGTGTCTTCATGAAACGCTCCACTTCGCCATTTTCTCTTGGCCAAAGTGGCGTGATTTTACGGTGGTGAAAACCCAGATGTTCAGCAGAGTTCTTGAACTCCATGCCATTAAAGGGGGTCCATTGTCACTCTTTAAGACGTCAAGAATTCCTTGTTTAGCAAAAATTGTGTCGAGCTTCGGGATGGTGGATCTAGCATGCAGAAGTCGATGTGACAATTTCAATTTCTGGGAAACGGCTGTACTCGTCTATGACGACCATGGGGTACTCTCCAGAAGGGAGTGGTCCTAGAAAATCCATCGCGAGTTCTTTCCATGAGCGTTTGGTAGCGGTGTCATCCTTAGAGGTTCGAGTTGTTCTGCCTTGCTAGTAGTTGCTACTTGGCATGGTAAACAGTTGTTGACTTTCTCCTTAACCACCTTGTCTACACCGGGAAACCAACTTTCTCTCTGATGAGGCGTTTTGTTTTTGTGATTCCTTGGTGCCCAGAGCTAGGTCCACGGCTGTCTCTTTGTGCTTTCGGGACTACGATCCTGTTTCCCCCCAGTACAGTTCCTCGGTTGACCAAGAGTTCATCTTTCAAATTTCTGTACTCCTGTATTTCGGGATGTGTCCACTGGTCAGTCTTGTCGGCCTTGATAAGTGCTTGCAGCGAAATGCCCTTCTCCGACTCTAACTTGATTTCTTGCAGCGTCTTTTGGCATTGCCTGGTTGCGTACCTAGTTCACATAATCTTCTGCAATGTTGGGCTCCTCTCTGTCTATGTTAAATGGATGGCGGCTCATAAAATCGGCTGGATTCCCAGCGTCTTTGCCAGGTCGGTAGATGAGTTGACAGTTGTAGGGCATGAGCCTCAGCTTCCATCTGTCGATACGCGCTAACGTTGGCTTGTGACTGTTAAAGATTCCCAAGAGTGGCTTGTGGTCTGTGGCAATGATGAACTACCATCCATACAAGTAAAGATGAAAATGTTTGACTGCCCAGAGTACTCCCAGCATTTCCCTCTCGGTTTGAGAATATCTGCTCTCAACGTCACTGGGTGCTCACTGATAGCTTTTAAGTTAGAGCTATCGTGCACCAAAAAATCCTCCGAGTCCGACTGGGCTCCCGTCGACTATCACTTCAGTCCTGAGTCTTGGGTTAAAGTATGACATCACGTGATTCTTGGTCATGCTATCTATCGACTTGTCGAATACTTGTTACTGTTCGTCGGCCCACTGCCATGACATGTCTTTCTTGGTTAACAGCCGTAGAGGAGCAGTTATCGTGGCATAGTCTGGGATGTAACGGGACACGTATTGAGCCATCCCCAGTAGAGACTTCACATCCCTAACACCTTCTGGTTTGCTTATGTCAATGATCGCCTTGATCCTGGCTGGGTCTGCGTTGACTCCGTTCTTGCTGAAAATCTGTCCGTAGAACTTGATCTCACTCCTCGAGAAGGCGCATTTCTCCTTGTTCAGGCGCACGCCATGTTACTGGAGCCGTTCCAGTACGCCACGGAGGTTCTCATCATGTTTCTTCTGAGTTTTTCCATCGGAGATATTCTTGCATCCTGAGAGGCCTGTGAGTATTTCCTTGATTGCTTTCTGAAAGATCTCGGATGCTGCGTTAATTCCAAACACGAGGCGCTCGTATCTTCGGATTCCGACGTGTGTGCGATAATGTAGCGGCTCTCTGGTGCCAGTTCCGTTGAGGTCAGCAACCAGATCGTCTATGGTCGACACAGGTGTTTTTCTCGTTTAACAGCCTTGTTGGCATCATATTCTCACTTAACCAGAGCTCTTGGGGACTATGACAACAGGGCTCACCCAGGGCATTGGGCCTGTTACGGTCTCGATGATGTCTAGCTCTTCTGATCGCTTTAACTCCATCTCGACATCCTTTCTGAAATGAAAGGGAATTCGACAGTGCGGTTGTTGCTTGGGTATGACGTCAAGGTCTATGTGAAGCTTGATGACTTTCCTTTTACTTGCCCATTCCACCGAGCAGGCTTTCTAAATCTCCGTTGACGGGGGACCGGGGACTGGTCTCGTCAGGTTTGACTTGGTTGATGATCTTGAACACGCCAAGTTTTGTGGTGGTGTTAATACCCAGGAGGTTTCCTGAAGCACCTTTGATGACATGCAGGGTTGTCTATGCGCCGTTGGCGTTAGCGAATATTTCGGCCTCAATAGTTCCCAGATCAGGTAGAGGTGTGGATGATCCGTAGGGGAAAATTCTGCGCTCGGTGACTTCTGATACCTTCCGTTTGTATAATTCCCTGAAGGTGCCTTCGTCCATTAGATCGACCGATGCACCGGAGTTGACCATCATTTCCATTTGTTTTCCATCCGTCTTGAGTTTGCAAGTTGGTTGCTTGTCACCGCCTATCGTGTAAACGTATTCGTCATTTTCAGCCGTGTCTTCAAACGTGACGCGTTTGCTAACTCAGGTGGATTTGGTGACTCAAATGGATTTCTGCAAACACGGGCAAAAAGGTTTAGTTTGCCATAGGATTTACACTTCTTGTTTTTCGCAGTGTATGAGTCTTTGTGAGGGTATGGTTCACCACAGTTCTACATTTACCATCGTCTTTTCGGGAGTTGCTGCGATTGTGTGACTCGTAGCGAGTGTGTGACTACTGCCGATTCTGTGTCTTTTTGAGATGTGTTGAGTTTCCTTTCTTGTTACACTTTACCGCGCTTACGGTTTGATGGAGATTCTCCAACTCCTTTGCTTGTATTTCGCTTAATTCTAAGGCTCTACCAGCCTTCATGGGGCCAGATAAGTCGAAGTCTACGCAGAGCTTTGCGTCGTAGGGAATTAGACTTACAGTTGAAGATGATCTGTTCTTTGATTTCCTTGTCTGCATTTGCGAAATCGCAGGTCTTCGCTAGGCTTCTCAGACGTGTATGGAAACAGTCGAGGGTTTCTCCATCCTTTTGCTTGGCCTGCCGGAAATTGTACACTTCGCACGTTACGTTGACTTGCGGAGAGAAGTGAGCGGTTAGTTTCTCGACGGCCTTTTTGTAATCTTTGTCTTCACCGACGTCTTGAACCGTGTCGAAGATCACGTCAACCTCTGGACCGCCGTGGTGCAGCAAAAGGGCTCTATTTTGCTTGTCATTGGAAATTTCCATTCCAATGGTTAGTCTCTCGAATCGTCCTGGCCATTTCTTCCATCTCAGGCCTGCATTTCCAAAGAGGTGAACTTCAAACGGTGGGAAGTTTGGTAGAGAAATCGCTATAATGTTTACGGGAGAAAATGCTTCGGAAACCGCTTTGGAAATCGCTTCGAAAATCCCTTCAGATGCTTTTGGAGTGCTCTCTGTTTGTTCTATGCTTGATCCTCATCGCCAGATGTGGTGTTTATGCTTAAATAAACACTGAAACTTTGGATGTAAACACAACGATATTTAATCAACATGCAAGACGATACTCGACTACAGAAAAAAATTCCTTTTTTCTTTTAGAGCCCGTGCGCATTCCGAACACTGTGATTGACAGCTGTCAGAAACAAGTACCAAGTTTAATTATTGGGTGTGTGATAATGCGTTTCTTGTGTTTGACCAAGCCAACTTGATTCATTAAAATGCTTACGAGAGGAAAGCAAGTTCGAATTGGCATCCTCAGAAACGCAGGCTAACCGACTTCAGTAACACTCACAAGACGAAAAACGTTGTTTTCTGACAGTTACATTACATAACAAGCACAGTGATTGTACTTCCCTTACCCTATTTTCACTTGCCTAAAGTCTGTAAATTATTTTGAAGGCAAAGTGCGTTATAAATTGTAAACCACGGCTACGGGAATTGTTTACGCTGTGTTGAATTGGCTCCTGCATTTACCTACGACGGTTTTAATAATTTTTTAAATATTTTGGAATCCTTTATGGGCTTAACAGCATCGTCATCTTGTAAATCATATCATAACTGGTCTCGCTGTCGTCTTGTTCTTCATTTCGTTTTCCGAGAATTCGATTTCTCGGAATGCCTGATGTCTCTATTATCGTTAAACGTTTTTTGGTTGTCAACAAAATACAAGATTATGTTTTTGTCAAATTTTACCTATATGAGTGCAGATGAAAGCCTGAGAAAAATCAATTTCACTTTCAAGCGGAGCCTGGAAGACATATTAACGAGGTCATTTGGTATTATTAACTGAGTTGGTAACGTAAATTGGTCTCAGTAAAGAATTTCAAAGCTGACGTTTCGAGCGTTAGCGAATGGCGAAGGGCTAACGCAGGGCGAACGCTCGACACGTCAGCTTTTAACCTCTTAACAGTAGCCAATTTATGTTATCAACTCAGTTGATAATACCAAATTACCTTGTTACCCCCTTTATTAATTACACTTATCAACCTACCACTCACCATTTTGCGTTCTTTATTAGCAGCCATCTTGAGCAGACTCAAGCTACAAATAAAATTATCGGACTTCTTGTTTACCAAAGCTCCCTCTCCGTCGATATCCATGACTTTGTGCAGCAGCTCTTTGTTGCCGTTTACTTGCTCAACGATGTCGATGGCAAACTTTTCACATTCCTCTGCACGATCCATGTATTTATCATGGCTGAAGGGATTTTCGTACGAAGCCATTTTCTCCAGTAGAAAAGCATCATCAAGAGCTGCTTCAATTACGTCTTTAAGCTTACTCTCCTTGCCTTTCTTGCTTTCCTTGTGCTGAGGAGACTGTGGATTATTCCTCCACAGCCATTTTAGACTTAAGAACAGAGGGTTGCTTTGAATTTCTAGGTTTACTCGATCTTCCTCGCTTGGCAAATCTTCCTCTCCGTTGTTCTTGAGGAGGTTCTTTTTGAGGTTCTCGCAGAAGTTCTTCAATTCTGAGCAGATAAACTTACAGAAACAATCTTTTTTTCCCTCTGTGTCGGCAATGGATTTGGAAACTTTATTTAAGTCCTTAAGATGCGGTAAATTTTCGAATTTTTCACTCTTTAGAAGTTCGCAGACCTCTTGTGGGTCGCCCTCTTCAATGGCGTCATACAGTTTCTTGCAGCAGCTTCCTTTAGTTTCTTCCTGCTTTACAGCCTCATCCGAATTCAAGGTATGTTCTGCCTCTCTCTGTCTACTCCCTGCCCATAAATCTTCAAGATATGATTCAAAGCTACCTTCACCTCTTAGGGGCATACTTGATTATGTCTGGGACAAAGGAACGATAAAACGCTTCAACTTGAATTGTTGGGGGCTTTCAAGAAGAGAATTCGTGGAAATATGAACACCAGGGCAGCGTTATTTGTCCACACATTCTCGTCCCAGAGCTTCTCATTTTCACGTATCATGAATGGTGATTCCAGTGTCACCTGGAAACAACGATTTTTTCAAGACTGTATGAAGGCCAACCACTAAATGACTAAATTTCTGCATACTTGGGTCGCGTGATAAATGTCAAAATAGTTGTTCCTGTCATTGTTGTTGGCGTCATGAAACAGAAAATGTTGTAACATGTAATTTGACTCCGAAGTTACCGAACTGCTTCAGCTTCGATTAAATCCCTGAAAAATGAGTTTACGAGCAAGGCAAGCTAAAGCCGTGTTACTCAGGTTTAGGAGTAGGCACCAAATGAAAGGATCTTAGATTTCTGTCGACGACTGTATCGCGATGATAGACCAAGAAGGAAGCACGTTATCCTGGGGAAAAGGTTAGACAAAGCATATCGAACTCGTCATTCACCAGTCTAAGAAAACATTGACTGCTGCGACTGCGGATAGAGATACCGATAATAAAAAATAAAATAAAAAATAAAAAAAAGGGCAAACCCACTAGACTATTGTTACCAAATTCCTCTGCTTCATGGCAATCGCTGTGGGCAGAGTACAGCTTTCAACTTATTATGGAGAGAGAAATACGGTGAGGAATGCCAAAAATTGCACCTAATCACCAGACTACATTGCACAACTTTTAAAGTAACAGCGAGAGTCCTCTTGAAGCACCTTCTAAGATCGTCATTTTAACATGAAAACCATGGAAACCATGAAGCACCACAAAGATCTCTGCTATATTTATTTATTTAACGCTTACCTTCGTGTTCAAGTGTAACGCCACGTTACACGTCACGCGTTACGAGTGTTATTTACGCTCCAGCACAAGGTGATACTAGAGTCATTCTAAAGCTTCTTAATGCTGTTATTTTCACCTCTATTATTTCATTTTGAAGCGTGCATAATATCGGTCATTTTTTTAATAAATTCCTGCTCCCATTTCCTGCTCCCTTCCATCCCATACCGATCATGGATATTTAGCACGTGTCCAGATTCCATTAGGATTTTCGTGCGAAGAACACGAAGTACGTACACCCTAATACCCAAAGCCCTTTAATGAAAAATTTTCTCGGTGGGAATAGAAGTTTTTCCTTTAGGACTAGAATGCAACTGATATTTCACTGGGACTAAAGTAATCTTTTATAGTAAGCAGACTACCGGCTTTCATGACTTATCTTTATTTTACCTGTCGGTCGAAATTATATAACACATTACAAAATACAGTACACTCTCCGTTTATCAAACTATAAAGGTTGAATCAAGAAATACAAGAAAAGTCGCTGATCTGTAACTACACTTAAATATTCTTAATTACTCTGAAACGTTGGTCAATAAAAAGTTGAACTCTCAACAATCTCTTATAAAAGTTTGCTTTGGGAGACACCCTTTTGAAGGCTTACTTGATGGTGAATAGCAATCAGGTAACAACGCGACAATGATCCTCCGGATGAAGAGTCTTGACAAGAACTGTTGTCGGTACTTACTGACCGATTTTTTTTACAACGTTAGCGGAAGTCATCATCAGAATCGAATGAAGAATTGATGTCAATTGATTCATCAGTTTTTCAGCTTTTTCCGACAGATGTCAACAATTACCGGCACCATACGAATGAGTTATTAACGACAATTACCATGCAAACGAACTCCAACAGAACGACCTTACAAGCTACCGTTGGATCGAAACTGACTGACGACGACCAACTTACACTATGCAGATTCTATATAGGTATCACGACAAATCTGAACAATACGTTTACACAAACCAGACTTCAGGGTTATAAGTCAATCTATGCTAGAATTCTTAATCTTGAACACCCCTCTTGTGAAGCGCATGGACACTGAAGGTGCTCCTATTTCTAATACATCCTAACCTTATAGAGAACTTGAGAATGCTAATTAAATGTAAAAAAGAATATGAGTACAGATCCATGCTAAATGATCAACGCAAGGGAGGATTAGTATTCAAATTTTGGAGACTTACCTTTTTAAAAAAGCCTTTTCTGATATAGTATTGTAATTTATAGATTAGATAATTATTCATTCGTGTAATTTTGACTATATATTGTTATATTTTATACATTGTATTTTACTTTATTATCTTTAATTGTAAGGCGCATTTGAAAACTACATAACTGAATTTGCGCGGTATAAATAAGTGTTATTAATTATTATTAATTAATTAATTACATTTGGGATGTAACATACCATGACGACGTACGGCAAAAATTTACACCCCACCACCCCTTCCCCAACCAACTTACAAAAAATATTCGAACTTTTCGGCTTACCCATAGCTGTCATAACTTGGCAGAGTCAAATCGCACAAGGAGATGAACTATTTCAGTTAACGCCACTCGTTTGTTGAACTTATGCGTCGATTAATTCGAAGCTTCAACGTCCACTCCAGTCTTTTGAATTTTTGAAGATTGTTTCGTTCAAATATCTGCCCATGGGGCACAACAAAACTAACTACAGCAAAAAAATTATGTCTATGACTATTTGTTCTTAGAGAATTACATTAGTATATGATTTTTAAGGCAAGAAATAATACACGAATGAAAGGAGAACAATCTGGCGAATAACACCATCATGGACTGTTCACAAACTATTGTGATGTCATGCTCTCAGCGAGCATTTTAGTGAAGAGGGTAATAAAAATCGAACCTAAGAACTTCACATTCCTGAATAAAGGGGTAAGTTTCTAAAGAAACCGTGGTGCTGCGTCGGTGGAAGAGTATAGCAGGTAATTTAGTGTTAACAACTGAGTTGAAAACGTAAATTAGCTACCGTAAAGGATAAAAAAGCTGACGTTTCGAGCGTTAGAGCGATTGGCGAAGGGCTAACGCTCGAAACGTCAGCTTTTTTACCCTTTACGGTGGCTAATTTACGTTTTCAACTCAGTTGTTAACACTAAATTACCAACTTTACTTTCCTGTTCAGTTACCGCATCACATCAAAATGGACTATTTTCGAGATGCCTTAAGCCTATGCTTTAAAAGGAGGGCGACTGTGCAGAAATGAATTTTTTTTTTCATGCGAACAAAAGTAGTCTTCACAAGAAAGATAATTCGGCATTATCTACTGAGTTGTTAACGTAAATTGGCCACTGTCAAGAGTTTCAAAGCTGACGTTTCGAGTGTTAGCCCTTCGTCAGAGCTCTTCCTCCGCAGAACGCTCGGAACGTCAGCTTTGAAACTCCAAACGGTGGCCAATTTGCGTTATCAATTCATTTGATAATACCAAATTGTCCTGTTATACTAACCCACTGACGCAGCACCACAGTTTCTTCAGCAACTTACCCTTTTTATTCACAAGAGACCTTTTGCTCATAGCCTTTCTTTGAAAGAAAAATTGATTGGAACTCTGAAACGGCCTATTACTAAAAAAAAAACGCCCAAAGAATTTATTCACAGTTTAGTCTTCTAAAAGATAGCTACAGGTAAGAAATGGAAGAAGGTTGGTTTAGTCTTGAATGTGTATGGAAATGTCATTCTCTGAAAAATTCAGTGACTAAAAGATGTACATGTACACACTCCAACTCAGCTTAGGAATGATCTGAATTTTTTTGACGACCAAAAAATGTCCATTGTTTCCTTAGTTATATCGGAATGCAAACATCTCACTCGAGCTCTGAGAAGACAAAAAGCTAACAAAAAATGTAATGAAATCATAAAAAGATGGCTGAAATGCATAAAAAATTGGAAAATATAAGTCATTAAAGCATTTTGAGAGATTAATAGGAACTGACCACTGTAGATTCAAAGCTTAAGTTGACAAATATTCCGCGTTGCTACTGCATTGTCTGGTTTGAATTAGACAAGAGTAGTCGTTTACTTTGATTAGTCTTCCAGCCTTTTACTGTATAATAGTCCTTTGTTTTGAATCCCTTTGTCTTTCAGTTTGTGACAAGCCTAAAATGTCAATTATCCTCGACAAGGTCATCTACTATGACAGTTCAGAATGGCGAGATAAAAGAATGCTGATAAAAACGCTCTGGTTCTGCCTCCAACTTATTCTTGTCATCACAACGACTGGAACCGGTTGGGGAGTTTTGACGTGGATTGGTAAGAAAATTATTATCAAAAGATTGCTTTCAATGTTTGCGAAGACAACAGTCACACCCAAAACTGGTCAACTCAATGGTCAAATTTTCTATTTGCGAAAGAAGAGACTATAGTTAATCCGAAAAATGCCGTTTTATGGCGGCTCAATGGATTAACGAACCCTTCTGTTAACGGGAGACACTTAATTCTGGTGAATCGAGCATCTGTTTAACCAGCCCGATTCAAGCGCTGAAGGTAATGCATAAATATATCCAATATAAATGTTTTCATAATTAAAACAACAAACACAATAATAGATGTTCGTGGATAAAAAAGACAATGATGTTTAATTAAGACCTGGGCCAACATGTTCCAACGTTTGACATTTGCGCACTTAAGTGGGTGAATTAAAAATACACTTGAAATAAATATTCAAAACCAAACTGCGAGGAGAAAACTAAAACAAATCCCATTTAGGTTAACTGAGTCGTTTCAAGCTATCCACAGGCCGTTATTTCTTACGACATCGGGCTACTCTACAGGAAGTCGTGAAACGTTGCAACCAAGGATGGTCGATCTACTTTTCAAAATGATGGAATGTTGTAGACACACTAATCGTCTTTTTATTTCTGCTGTCATGCACTGTGTGGTTAATGGAATGGGGCTATAATAAAGAATGAAAGCCTTAAAAAATTGCATCTACCGTGGCTAATGCTATATATTCCAGCGCCTCCGTTCTGACCTTTTTTCACTTGGCACACTTTTTCTAAGCCAGTTCAGTGCTTGGTCCCTTGCAGCTTTTCCTCTATAGGATGCTGAGAGATGTCCTAAAGTTCCTTTCATTTTTCTTCTTCTTTACGTTGCATTTTCCACAGGTATGGCCAAGATCTGCTCTCACTACGTCGCCTCTAACATGGAGCTTAGCAAACGGGACAACAGAACCAGTTATCGGCTAAGAATATATGAAAGTCATATATTTGAACTGCGGATAAAGACGTGAATGAAAGTGATCCTCGCAGTAATGCACACTACTTGAGCAGTAGTGAAAATAAGGCCTGAAAAAAAAAATTCAGGCGCTGCACCGGTATCGCAGAGGGTATGGGTTCAAATCCCTTACACGCCTGAATTTTTTTTCAGGCCTTATTTCCAATACTGCTCAAGTAGTGTGCATTACTGCGAGGATCACTTTCATTCACAAGAACCAGTTATCAACAACTTTCCCATCCATTCGCCGTGTACGTATGTAATTTTAAAATTTCCCTATTGGGCATGATTTTATATTGCGGGTAAAAGTTGTAATAGTATGGATTTAGAACTTCTCGTGCGGTGGTATAGTGTTACATATTTATCCTCTTTTTAGGAACTTTAACCTTGAAAACATATTTTAGAAAAAAAGGTAGCCAAATACTTACAAAATGTATGCTTTACATTAAAACGAAAACATAGGCGTCTCTAAGAGGGTCAATGCAAGCAAACCGTCTCTTGCATCGAAAGGCAACCAACTGACCACTGGATTAATAGTCTTCTTGATAAGGATAATTTCATTATTGCTACACATGAGAATATCATCGGATATTCTCTTGTTGCTACAGCATTGACTGCTCAAATGCAGACACGACCTGTATAACAAAACTATCCATCTTAGCGACAACATCAACTGCAATTTTCTCACATTTTGTTGCACATTTCAAGTATTCATCTCTATTCAGGTGGTACTCGTAAAAAGCTCCTTTTCATCAAGAGGCAGACATCAAAGAGGGCAGCTTCAACGACGCCTTCAAACTTCCTCTTCTTCTTCTCGCGTTCCTCTGTGCGATTTTTGTTTTCATCTCCACTGTTTGTGGAATGATTATTGGAAGCCACAATGACCAAGGGTGTACCATCAGTTTCTTGTTGTGTAACAACAGCTTTAGAGTTAACTTTTTTGCTTTCTTTTCTTATGTTACAAGGAGAATGAGGTTTATTTCTCCACAACCATTCCAGACCGATGTACCTCGGATTGTTCGGTATCTTAATCCATGCCTACTTTTAGGGTTCTCCTTTTCTTCCTCAGCGATGAGCTTCCCACCACAGCCCATTATCGATCCTTTTAAAAATGTATACAACCTCTTCAAAAGTCGATATATGCGCTCAAAGCTGAACCCATTATATTGTCTTTCATATTCTCCTCTTCCACGATATCGTTAAACATAGCACTTGACGTTCCAATTGCCTTATGCTCCTCTTTTTCTTCCATCTCGACAATGAGTCTCCAGATTTTAAAGACATTGCCCTCATCGAGAGCGTCTATAAGTTGCTTCGATAGACAATTATCAGTATCGGGACTTCTTTCCTTCTTTTGATCCGTTCTTATATAACGTGACAAAAAGGTTTGCACCTCATTCTTTACCCCTTTTTGCACTTTTTTCAGAAAGAAATCAAGAAGTTCACCGTCTTTTATATTTTTTTCATCGTCCAGCGAAAGGTTCGACGCTATAGCGTTGGCAACATTGGCATATGTATGGGGCAATTTTCAACTAAGTGGCTAAAGTAATCTGAGATTGTTTTAATTTTCTTTGCTTCGCTCTGTGATTAGTCCAGAAAATTCGCGCCACCCTTTCAACCAATCAGATGCAGATCTAAAGACCAGTGGCAACCAGGTCATCTGGGTTTTCCCACACTAAAGGCTGTCTGGTTATTTCTTGGAGTTTTCATCGACGTCTTGTGGTGTACTCCTTAGCTTCAATTGGTCGTTTTATTACTTTGGTTTTGGTTTAACGACACTCAATGGGTATATTATTGCAAGTCGTCATTAAATATTGCTCGTGCACGTCAGGAACGTTTTTGTTGCTTTGGCCAATGGTTCCAAAGTATCGTAAAGATGAAATCCGAATGTTTGACTGAAATTTCACTACCTTACAGAACTCAATATGGATCAATAGTCAAAGAATGAAATACCACGTAATGCGCACTTCTATAGTATAAAAAAGTTGTCGACGAGTAAAAGAGTATCTCGATTATCCAGACTTGTGAGGAATGGGCTAAAAAGTCCGAATTGTCGAAAGTCTAGATAATCGAAAATATGAATACTAATGAGGCAAATATAAAACTGAGCAACTTAAGAGAGAAAACGTATCCACATTATACAAGAATTAAAGCAAATTTTCGAATCACTGTGTGTAGCCTGTTAAAGTATATCAAAGCCAACCAACAACGTTATGCATCGACCCCACATGCCGTGTACGTGCTGCAAACTCCATTATTCTCCGAAGCTACACAAGCTGAATACTGTCAACATTGTTTTTCCATCCGCGTTAAAAATTTCCTATATAGGCCGCGACTAAAAGGCGAAGGGAATGTAATCTGAGCCACTAAATCTTGAGATGTCCCTCTCCTCCCTGGGATAAACGTCATAGAACAGATATATCATGGACCATGATTACACATGTATCACTGATTGTTAGAAATTTTAACATACGGCATCGGTTGGAATCAGAGTATCTCATTTCGCCAACTGGAACAAAGAAATTAGGACCGAATCTGCCAGTGAGAATGGACAACTACAGAGAAAGCTGTAAGACGACTGTTCTACACCAGAGCTACAAATCGTAGTTTTTCATCAGTTTTTTGCTTCGGAAATTTTCTTCACAAGTCTATTCTGCATCACCTGACCTATTGCGGTTCAAAGTCATTAATAACCTACCATTAAAATTTATAGGACGTAGTAATTTCCAAATTGTAGTCAGAGAGAACCTCCCGATAGGATTTCGCTTCTGGGTGAGCTGGAGATTCCAATGCTTCCTCATTATATTTTTTTACCATCTAGAGCTCAAAGTAAGAAAAATGTTGTTTCTTTCGAGGAGCGAAAAATCGTAAAAATTTTATGGATTGTTTGGTTGGCCTACATAATTTATCAATTGCATAAATGACCCACTGAAGTGGTTGGTTACGCTGAGCACATTGCGAACTTGCTGACGAGGCGTCATGACGATAGATATTTAATAACATGAAGTATTATCGTTTGTCTCTCGATGTAGTCACTTCGGGTGTAGATCATGACGTTTCGACTGCATACTGCTCTTCCTCCAAGTAAGCTTCACCCTTGAAACTATTCTGCTCAGCTGTCGGATCGGCACATTTTGTCAACGGTTCCCCCGGCGGTCCGTTACCGCACGGTTCTGTTGTTGTGCTGATTTCTATTACCTGGATTGCCTCTTTCACCAGTAGATATTACTGATAACCTGTTTAACGAATAACCTCTAGGATTGTTTCTGAGATATTAGCGTTTATTCGTAATGATTTAGTTTCTGAGGGGATGCTATATTCAGAATATGAAATGTAACACCTGCATTAACAATAAGTTGGTGATCCTGGTGATTGTTATCCAGTAGGAACGCATAGATGTCGGAAAAGAAATTAGAATAAAATGGTAAATATTTATTCAGCTAGAAATAATCTAGGTGATCAAAAAATTAAATCGCTGGTGATACTTATCTTTTACCATGTGACTTCTTTCTTAATATTCGAAAGCTTTCGATGTTAGGGATAACTAGATTTTACCATTTAACCCAGCTACTCCCGCAACTTAGGAACGAAAGTTTGAGAATGTCTGAGGTAAGATTAGGGGTATGGTGACAGAAAACACGGCTGGGAGACGCCCTGAATTTGATCTGATTTTAGCCGTGCTACCGGGAAGCTTCAATAAATAAGCTAGAAATTCAGAGAGAAACAAAAATTTCAATCCCTTTAAGCCGGTGAAATAAACGAATAAGCCTTTTGTAGAAATTGGTTGAGTGACCAGCAATCGGTAACCTTGTCACTGGTGTGAACTCAAGAATTCAAAAGACCATATTTCATTCATCCTGATAGCAAATGTTGTACCATGGCAGGTTGAGATATTATGACTATTTGAGAACTTATATTTTTGTCTCCCGATCTATTTCTGTGAAAGCGATAAATTCTGCCCTCCAATGAAATTTTATTTTATCAAGTTCAAGAAATTTAAGGCAGATTCTTATATTCATAGGAGGCAGACTAAACGAAAATGAATGTAAAAAATTTGATAAAAAAGTTTCAGACTTGTAAGCAACAAACGGTGTGAAAAAATAGATTAATACGAAGATTCGTATGAAAATCATATGAGAGTGACGGATGGTCAAATCGTCTTCAGCACTTGCAAAACCTTCAAGTTTTTCCAACTCTTTGAAACCTCTGCTTAAACTATACAAGATAACATATTTGAAGTTTATTCATTCATTCATTCTAGAAAAATTGTTTGTTGAAATTGGCTGAATCATTACTTTTACGAAGAAGAGGTCACTTGACAAACTGTTGCAAAAGGCCTAATAGTTCTCCTACAGTGTTTATGTGGAAAGTATGAAAGAAAGTTCACCTGGTCGCTTAAGATAGACTGAGACTTAGGCAGCATGCACACTACACTACAAGATTGATCTGGACAAGCAGGGGATAAAATATTACACTTGCCTATGAAATATTATATTGTGTTAGTGGAGAGATTATTTCAAAACAGCGTATTTCATGCTTTTCCTGATGGTTTGGGCATTAAGTCTGTCCACTTCTCTGTCCACTTCCATAATCATCAGACTGAGCTTTGATTATTTCGGATAGTGGGAACTTCTCTGGGTAACGTTCCATCAGATACTTCACGACCAGATTTGCCATTACCTTCTTGCGTTCCTGTTTAGGAGAAAAAGGTTCAGGTGGTAAGACGACAGAATGGCAGCTCTAGACGGAGAGGTTGTCAACCTTAGGGATAAAAAAATGGAACTACGAATTGATAATTCTCAACCCTTTCTCATATAATCATCAGACTGAGCTATGATCAAAATGTATAGTGGGAACTTCTATTAAAAATCAATTTTTTTGCTTCAAAGTCAGTCTATAATTACTCAATATATTACCAATGTTTCATCATAATTGATTGATACTGACTTGGTGACTCCTACTCCCGGCAGAATACCGCCTGCTTGAAAGCTAAGAGCAACAGTACGTGAAAAAGTCTAAAATAGACTCAGAATCTGAGAAGTTTATGACCAATTTCAAGTCAAATGTTCAATCTATGATTGTAACCTTCAAAGGTTACTAGTGTAGCGGAGAAGACAATCCGAACGCACAGTATAAATCACGGTTTAATCAAATGAAGTGCGTAATCAAAATTACAAACTAAATAAGGAGATCGGTGTGAAAACACAGATGAAGAGAGCGAAGTGAGATCAAAGATAGCGTAGTTATGATCGATGGTAACGTTGTAGCTGAATTTGTGTGTGGTTCGAACTAAAAGAAAATACAGCAGAAACTAAACTAAGAAAATATCCCTGAGAAATGTAAATCGATATACGTATCAAAAAAGAAATAAATCGATATACGCATCAAAAAAAAAAAGGAAATATCTTAAATATGAAATAAAGAAAAACTTACTTTGGTCTAGCTCCTAATGATTGTAGATAAATCGCCAATAGCGGATCGTACATGAATAGCAGACAAAATTGATGGTGTCGACAGCAACTTATAGCGATGAAATATGAAATATAATATCTGGTACATGTGCTTAAATGAAACTGATTTAAATAAAAAAAACTTATTAAGTAATAATCGTTAACCAACGAAGAAATAATAGACCGGAACAAACCTAACAGAAAAGTACACAAGTTACGCGTTTCGAAACTAACAATGATTGTGTTGCTTTTGCTGGTAACTGTCTTATATGCACCTGACGGGCTTGAACATTTTAAGAACCGTAACGGTGCTACGGGCAAGAGAGAGTGAGAGGAGTGACCAACGGGTTTGGAAAAAACAAAATGAAATTCGTATTTGCAAACTCACCTCCTGCCTGCCTCATTCAATTTTGGTAGCGTATATCCTTTTCAAATTTCTCGTCTACGTTGTCTTATTTTTTTGACTTCTCAGTAACAGTTTCGATGAATTGTTCTCTTAGTTCTTGGGGTTTTTGTTTCACAAAATTTGACGCATCTCAATGATGAATTTCATGTTTCACTCCTCTTAAATATCATACCTCGTTTGTGGAAGGTGGCGACTTCTTGCAAATATTCTCGAGGCATATACAGAAAGAACAACACGATTTATCATGGTCATCGTCGCTCTAAAGCAAAAGAATCATAAAATAAATCGATTAGATTTACTGCACCTGGGAAAACGCAAATCTTATCTTTCTAAAAACAGCAAACGGGTTTATGTACATGGTTATTATCCTCCAATCTACGTTGTCCTATTTTTTTGGCTTCTTAGTAACAGTTTCGATGAATTGTTCTCTTAGTTCTTGGGGTTTTTGGTTTACAAAACTTGATGTATTGTATCTTAATAATGAATTTCATGTTTCACTCCTCTTAAAAATATCATATCCTCGGTTGCGGAAGGTGGCGAGTTCTTGCAAATATTCTTGCAGCATATACAGTAACTGATGCCAAACTATTTCCCTTAGAAATGATATTAATTAAATTATCGTAGCTCACCTGTTGAACCTTAGAATCTGACCGTACACTGTCACTGCCCTGTCTCTCTCCAGCCCCCTCATGAGATGTTCTCTATTCAAATAGAATAAAGCTTAAGTAAAGCACCCCCCCCATCCATTAGCTGCTTCATGTGTCTACATGATTTCATTGAAATATGAAGCACACGCCCAGTTTAGAGAGGTCGAAAGATGAGAGTTTCTGTTCAAACTCTCAAGGTTTTACCTAACTCAGTAAACGCGCAGCTTACGCCTGAATAAATTGTTTTTGTTTTTACACTTTAAACGCGCCAGTTTTGAAATATTTATGAATAAAGATTACCTCTCCTACACTTCAACCCAAACTCACACGTCATGGGAATAGTAGGCGCTCCTGTGCTATTGAATTTATTTTTTAGAAATTCTCTTTTCTTAGTAAAGCAAAAGTTCCACTAGAACAAATTTAAATTCTTTTCACCTTTTACCCTAAGGAAAAATCTCACGTACTCTGAAGTATCACAGACAAAGTACAACTAACCAGTTCTTGAGAATTCACCAAAAGTTCACTCTGTTAGATTTAAAAAAAAATCTGCATCAGAAAGGACTGTCGATGATCAAAGAGAGAACGCAAGATAGTGGTGATCATGAATTGCATGTATCTCTTCTCTTTGAAAAGTGTTTATCGATAGGATATTAGCATATTACCTCGTCGGTGGAGTTCCCCTTAGGACGGTTGATCTCTGTCTTAACTTTCTTTTTTTCTTTCTTTCTAACCTGGATTATCTGGTGAAAGAAACATTGGCGGCTGGAAACGTGATTGAGAAACTCTCTTTTTAATCATTAACTTACAGGTGCAGAGTGGAGGAGTTTAGGGGAGTCATATGGTTTTAATGGGGAACGCAGGGGGATCAGTCCTCGCCAACAGAGTATTATGGGGGGAAACTGACAGCTAATTAACTGTCAATGAGGGTGGGGGAAGGTCACAAGAATTATTATATAATATATAGAGCTAACCCCTCCCTCCCCTTCCGGCGATAAATAATGACCAGTTCATTGGATATTTTGACAAATACATTAAAACTTAGCATTAATTCCACTCATTATTTAGCTTGATCCCTAATGAACATTTTACCGCTGTGATGATCTTGTATGGAAGCCAGAAGAAAAACAGTACAAGTACACTTACAAGTACACGTACAAGTACAGGTACAAGTGCAAGTACAAGTACAAGGTTCGTAGGCACAGGTACAGCATTCTCTTTGTGAATCCATTCTAGCCACATTTGGGTTCTTGAAAACTTCCATTCTGTAATTGCATTTTTCTAGAAAATTGAAGTTCAGAAATTCGATCAGTTGATGGCTCATGCTAAAGTGAATGACTAGGAAGAAAATACATCCAGCTCCAAAAATAAAAAATGTTCAAGTGCAGGGCTTACGACTTATACCTCAATACTTTTTGGACCAACCGCCAAGACCCACGCCCGTAACATTCCAACGATATCACACTTTATCATATAAACTACGGTGTTATACAAGGATTTCCAGCCCTGAGAAAAGCCTTAACAACACACGTGAAAAAATACGATATCTTTTCACCTGTGTTTGGCATCGCCAATCAGCTGCTGACACGTCACTCGCCTTTCGCGCTACTCGATCAGGTTAATGAATGAACGGCAAAGCCTTTACCATTCTCAATCCGAGATCGTTTGTCAGAGATTTTTTCGGATTATGGCTGTTAAAACACTGAAAAATTCGTATCGCTTACAGACAGTGACGTTCAAACTTTTCTTTAGAAGGGGAAGAAAACCAAAATACGAGAAGAAAAACCGAAAGTTACGTATTCAGTGGCTTTGGTGATGGCACTCCTCATAGCAGAGAACGAAAATCAATAACTAGAAGATTTGCTACATGTCGATTTTGGCCGTGTACCTGAAAGATTTCTTCTGTCGGTAAGGGCCAATTCTAAAACTGAGAATTTTTTGTATTGAAGATGAGGCCCATTGTTTGTTTTTGTGGTGATTCAACGCATGTTTTCATCTTAAGTGCACCAACGCAATTTACGATTTTTATTCGAAGATTGTCGATCCTTTTATTTTCATTCATTGGTAAAGTCGACTTTCCTTGTCAGTAAAGGGCTATTGTGTTTATTTGATAAACAAAATAACATATGGGCGCGCGCAGATATAAAAGTTCTCTTCTCGTGTTCAACTCGACATCTCACTTGTTCGCTGCGCTTACTCGTGAGCTATCGAGTTAAACACTCGAAGAGAAATTCCATCTCTGCGCGCGCCCATGTGTTATCCTCTATTTCTCTCTGAATACATTGTCATGGTTCGCTTTATTTTGATCAATGAGATAAACATTTTAATTTTTTGTCAGGTTAGGGTCATTTTCAGCGTTACCTGAAAAGGAGATGTCCTGGGGACGAAAGGCGGTGTAATTCTTTACCGAAAACAAACAAACTAACGAAAAACGCTAAAACACAAGAGACAGACCATAATTTATCGCCTGGATGATTTTAGTTATGTCACAATGAAATTTACCTGATCTTCCCATCAGGCTCTGCAATACTCCTTTTTAAACCCCCCCCCACACACACACACACACACACACACACACACACACACACACACACACACACACACACACACACACACACACACACACACACACACACACACACACACACACACACACACACACACACACACACACACACACACACACACACACACACCCTGCTCATTGACAGCTAATTGGAAGTGAATTTTCTTTGGTCCCCCCTTGATACTTTGTCGATGACGACTGCTCCCCCCTTCGTTCCTCCCGAAAACCATGTGATCCCCAGGCGATAAGAACACCGGTCCCAAAACAAAAGCAATGCTTTTTTCCTGATTGTCTCCTAGATCCGCTGAAATAACTTACCATGATATTTTCAAAAGAGTAGCTCATCATTGAGATCAGCATATTTAGTGCCACAATGACGGCAAGTATCATAAACACGATCATAAGAATGCTGACATAAATGGGTATGTAGCGGAAGCGATGATCATCGACACCCTTTCGGTCTTCGTTCACATCAGCGAACAACCACCAAAACATATTGTAGAGAGCGGTAATGTGGCTGAAAGGGATGAAAATAAAAGGAACTTCTTGTTAGACATAACCCAGGCTGATGGTTAGTGTTCAAGGTTTGGAGCAACTCTTGTTGGGGTATGGAGTATTTTTTTATAATTCGTAGTATTTACAGAAAATGGTATTTAAAAATATAGTTCTATCGAACTTATTCAAATCACGACCTCTATCAGAATCTAAAATATGGACTTTTTGATACGAACGTTATCAAACTTTTGCCAATGAAAATAATTTATTGGTTTTATAAAAAACCTTTTTTTGGAAACTTAGAGATCAGTTCCTAAGGCAAGCTTAAAAGAAATGACGTGTAAGTTTCCTCGAAACAGTGAATACTAAAGTAGGAGCATTTAGCTAAGAATTTGGTGAGACATAATATTCTCAAGTGAGTTTCGCGAATGCATGGTGATCGACTTGGTCGATCGCTGGGATTTACATTGCCCTTCAATCATATTTCGATCGACAAACATTAGTTCACCCAATCATAGGCATTTATATTTTCAATCACCAATCTCCTTACTAGATTGTAGCGATTGAACTATTTCATCACCTCCGCGAACTCTAACATATGGGATCTACCAATCAGGTTTTACCATCACCTCTCTAAATTATGACGCCCTTGAAAGGACTGAACTTTGCGCATGTGAAACGGCAATGGTGCGTGTGTCTCGTTGGTGTAAAGAATGTTGGAGGTATTGAGTGAAAACTGTCGATATGACTGTACGTTTGTATGAGTTATGTTTGATTTTCATAAGTAATCATTAAAGTCCAGGCAAGTGAGATTTAGTCCTTACTTGGCATATGGATGCGTCGTATTGTAATGAATTGTAATATTCTCCTTGTCCTGTTTTTGTAGTTCCTTCTCAGATTGGATGTAATACGAATAGATCTTAGTCAGCCCAGTGGAAAATGCAAAGAAGAGCACGAAGATGATGGCGAGGAACTTGATAACATCTTTCAGCATGTTGAATAAGCACAACTGCATGGGACCCAGCGTTGAACTGACTTGGAAAAAGCGTCCCAAGTGGAAAAAGGCTACGACGCAGGCAATGGCATAAATGAGAGCAGAAAGAATAAATGATGGGCTTTCTGGCCTCCACCCTCTGTATGTCAACCACGCGCTCCCCCATACTATGTAGGAAATCAGAAATGCTGAGGCCATTACTAGGTCTATAACATTCCACCACTTTGAGAAGTAATTTAAGCGGCCTTGCAGCCAGAGCTCCATGAGTTCCTGTATGAATAGACCGCACGCAAAACATACACACAAAACATCTGTTGAAAAAGTGAAAAAGAAAGAAATTTAGTTTCTTAGGCACTTGAGATTTTTTTCCGCACAGTCAGATCTAACGAGAAATCTAATACGTTGCTTGTCCACCGTACGCCACCAACAAAGAGTTTTCTAGGCACGCAGTTTATGAATCTTGTAATAACTAGGGGGGCAACTGTACGAAAAAGGATCTTCGACTGGGAAACTTCACATATCCTTTCTAAACAAAAAAACCCCATGTTTAAGCCTCTTGAATACCAACAAGAGATGTTTTCTCTAGATTCCAAAATATAGTACTAAAGGGTATAACCGGCTGAGTTTAGCACTCAATTCTTATGATGAATTGCTTATTGGAAAGTGAATTCTGTCTCCTTTTACTCTCAAATCAAGACAAAAAAGGCTGTATAAATTAACTTAGAGAATCCAACTCTGGACCTACATTAAAAACACTGGCGGTTATCTCTGTTTTTGAATTTTTAGCCGTTGATGGATTTGATTTCGCTGTGTTCACTTTAAAGTGGAATTGTTATTATTTCCTCTCACAGTGTTTTAATTATTCGAGACACAATTTCGTAACAAAATTCGTGACGTCATTTTGTAACATAATTTTGTTGACTAATTTTACATCCACTGTTTTAGTATATAGTAATCACTACTAAAATTATTACTATCATTATCATAATTATAATGGCTATTATTATCATCTTCATCAAAATCTCTCAATTACTACGTGCGGTGTGATTGATCAATTTGGCGGGCCGTATTCCACTGTAAGACTCGCTCAGAAAGGTGGTTTTGTTTGCCAAAAGAGACATATTAAATATCTTAGAAAGTCCGTTTTCTTGGTCCGTACTGTAAGTTACAGAACGTCGTTTTTTCAGCGCTCGGATTTATGACCCAATTGCGTAACACACGGGCCGTAAATAAACGGAGGAAAATAATCGGTCTGCAACGTAGAGTACGGAACGAGAAAACGGGTAAGATATTTGTTATTTTTGATATCGGTTTACTGAGAGTACAAGTGACATGCATTCGGAGACTTATGGTCAAAAGTGATTACTTTATCCAACTCAAGGTCATATGTACTGCGGAAATGAATCAATCATAAGAATATATTGAATATACAGAATATGACGTGTATAACTTACCAAGTGGTAACATCGAGTGGCCTGAGCTGGTTCTGCTGTATACACTCGGGAAGGAAGAGGTAATGATCGTGCATAGAAATGTCAAGTATGACATGAGATGGTTGATGAACTTGGAGTAAGGATGTTCGAAAAATTTCCTCAATTTCCAGCATGAACAGCAGGAGGATGCACCGCAGTATTCGTTCAACAGTTTTATCAGTAGATAAGGATGCTCATCACGAGTGAGAAGATAAAATGAAAAAGGAACCAAATGCTCTTTACGACAAAACCTTCATCTTTCCAGTCCCACCATCCACGGTTGATCACCTCGTTGAGTACATACTGGCAGTTGTAGCTCGCCACAAACTGTGCCACAATAAAATAAGTGACACCGTTAAATAACTGATTTTCATGATAGACAGTTAGAAACTGCTAAAGAGGGCTACATTTAGATGAAGTTAGGCACGAAGCTATAGATTGAGAGCTAGATAAATGAAAGATCCTTTTTTGTCGTTCGTGACGGAATTAGACCCGGCACAGATAAATGAAAACAAAAAATGTCTGATCTATGTATGCCGTGATAAATAGCTATAAATAATGATTTGCTAAGTACAGAACTGATCCTAAGCTGGAAACGGAGAACTTAATTTTGCAAGACATCGTGTTCGATATCAGTTCAAATTACAGATTACCATTAAGAAGAAATCCGCAAAGAAAATGAAAGGTTTGCCTCGAACCTTCGAACTCTGGAGAATCAGCGTTTGACGTTGAATGAACTGCTGACAGACTAAGTAAATAATAAATTGGATTCTGAGAATTGACGAAGATTTCCGGCTTCGTGTTTGAGTCTGACTTTGGGTTTAATTCTTGGTTACTTATGAATTAAAGGTTGTAATATTTCACGAATAAAGCAGACAGGAAATTTATAAAATAAGAAAATATTGAGATATACATGTAAAGTTATGGATAAATACACTTACAGCTATTCATTCTTTTAATTTTTTTTTGGTCTGACCTTTTCGCCTTGCCAAGGTTATTTAAGTAATTCTGTAATCAATAAAGCTCACTGTTTTAAGGCAATGAGCAAAAATGAACTTGACTTCTTAACTTACCAACTTTCGTTGTTTCTCCACGCCGAACCTCACCAGGCTCACACTCGGCATGAAATTGTCAGGCTTTTTCTCATTCAATAAACATCCTGTGCCCTCGATATCCATGATGAGGTGAAGCGGTTTCAGTTGGGAAGGACCTATTTTGGCAACGATATCTACGGCCAATTTCTCAAGGTCTCTCGCGCAATTCATGTAGTCGTCTCGACTGTATTGATGATACTTGTACGCGGCGATTTTCTCTAACAGGAGTGAGTCACGGAGGGATGCCTCAATAATGCCAGACAATGTAGTTTCTTTACGCTTTATTCTTTGCTTATCTGCCTTCATCTCCGATGTCTCATTCGCTTTCTCATCTGCCTTCTCATCCGATTTCTTATTGGCATTCGGCTCATTAGGCTTTTCTTCTTTCTCAACTGCCTCCATCTCCGATGTCCCATTCGCATTCGGCTGATTTCGGGTATTCGAATCAATCTCCCACAACCATTCGAGGGTTATGTACAACGGGTTGCTCAATATGAGGATCCATCTCCTTTCTTCTTCGTTTTGTGCCGTTGTCGTGTCTTCGATATTGTCTTCAGTGCTCTTGCAAGAGATCCATTCTTTGAAATATTTGCATAGTTGACACACTTTATTCCACGTCTCCGACATCTTCCAACGTGTGATACTTATAATGTTGTTATCTTCCTTTGCGTTCTCCTCGCGCGCGATAGTTCTACAGTCATTGCTTAAGTTGTCAAGGATCTTCTTATCATTTTTTTCTCTGAAGTCAGCGATGAGTCTCCAGACCAAGACAACATCATTCTTTTGGAGGGCAACTTCCAAACGATCTTCCCAGGCTTTAGAGGATTCAACCTCGTCTTCGACGTCTTTTTTTGCCTCCTCACGTGTTAATTTCAAAAAGGTATCAGAAACATCAGTCTCCTGCGTGTCTAGGGAACAATTTTGTGCCATACCATTTGTGTCTTCTACATCTACAGAATCTTTATCTCGTTGTGTGTATGGACTGCAGCCGCGTCACCGAGACTGACTGTGAGTCTTCTGCTGGTCTCGGGAACGTTTTTGAGCTACCTGTCCATTAATATCTTCCACATCTACAGAACTGTTATCTTTTGGTGTATACGGACGGCATCCGCGTTACCGAACACACCTAAATGTTCAGTCGACCTCACTACAATGTCGCCTTTCAAAAGTTGAACTTTAGACTAAGACTTGATAGCGTTGAAATGCGATCTCAAGGTAGACAGAACTGAATGACACTAAAAAAAAATGAAAAAGAAAGAAACAACAAAAATGAAGAAGCCAACGGCGCGTGCAATAGAAAACAAACCAATATAAGATCTCTTTCTTTATTCCTTTTCCTATTCTTCGGGGCTGTCTTACAAACGAAATCATTACATCGCGAAGTTACTAAAGTATTGTGCGATCATAGGTTAACTAGCAACATTTTTCTGTCAAAACACTAATCACGGAGGCGTCAATCAAACTAGAAAATGTTTCGCAGCTTCTATCGGAAGCGGTAACACTATCTATCACGGATAAGATAACGAGACGCAAAGCCAACAAAATTTGTAAATTTGAGCAGATTAAGTATAAAGATGGAAACTCTTTTTCAATAATTACGTCTTTATAACTTTAACGAATAAAAACAAACTAGACATGGCTAGATGCTATTCTAGTTTATATATTTAATAAATGTAATGGAGAAGTTATAATTCATAGACGAGTCTATGAATTGTACCTTTTTGAATCCAGAGTAGAATCAAACCATGTCTGATTGTCCCCCTGGTTGCCTTGTGAACTTTAAAAAACAAACCACTTAAAGATAGACACTGTATGTGTGGCCTCGCACTTTCTCAATCATAAGACCCGCGTAAAAACTATGGTGAGTAATAGATCAAAGCTAAACGATTCCAAAAATTCCCAAAGAAGTGCTTGACACGACTATTTCAAGAAATGAATTTCAATTTCGAAGTATCTGACACTGAACTATACAAGACAGTCAATGTTAGAAAACTCTTCGTGATAGCTAAAAAAATCCAAGTTGATACTATGCAACACTATTAATGGTTGACCGCTTTTTTGTTCAATTGCAAATTACACCGGTAACGGATACATACAAATAGAATCCAACCGCTTCCACCGACCGGAAAGAGTGACCCTCCAAAAGACAGACAACAAAACAGGCTGTGAAGGAAATTTGCATGTCTGTCAACGCGCCAAGAAGTGTTTATCATTATCGGTCAACTACTGTCAGATCAGTGATAAAATTTCTTCTTGGCTAACACGTACTTCTGTATTTCAGATTCAAAACTACCTTTGTTCTAAACGCACTGCGGCCAAATGGTAATTGCTAAGGACTCGCTCTTTGATATTTAAGTCTCCTTACCCTAAGAGGAAACTCTACGAAACAAATTGCTTGGAAAATTTCTCAGCTGAATGTTTTTTGGTTGCTTGTCTCGGTTGACTATATGGAAATAAGGACACCCTACTTTTAAATTGCTCTTGTATTGAGTCTTGGCCTTTGCTGTCCATACCCTATGCGGTTTGAGAAACAATTGGAATATGCCAGCTAGGTAACGCATCCTGAAACAGACTGAAGCCTCTTCTACTGGTAAGTGGCTCGAGAAATAAACAGCTGTGAGCTCGAAAAATAGTTATTTGCAAGCGAGGCAAGCTTGAATCGCTCTATTAAGTAGGCTGAGACCACAAAGCAGCTCAATGTCTGCGGAACGTTCCTCAATAGGCGGCAGGACTATCTGTGTTTCATTTTAGACTATTTATCCTAGATGAGTATATTTGTGTGAGCTATCCAATGAAGCTGTCTCATCTTGCAATACGATGTGCTTCTTCCACCTGTGTTACAATCAGGTAGTTGCTACCAGCTCGTCCCATCTCGCTGTGTAACGTTTCTTTAGATACTCCACGACTAGTTTTTTCATTTCTTCAATACGTTCCTGTTAGTTCAAACGATAAAAGAGTTAAATTAAAAGTGAGGCCCAAAAGCAAAAACATCCATGAACAGTTATTGATGTGGCATAGTGTAATGCGGTGTACACGACGTTAAATGTTCTTTGCTTCATAACTTTCTCATAACAGTTTTAAGCCGGTCTTGATAATTAATTTGTTTTCGGGTGGTGTGCCAAAGTTACATGGCAGCCATAAAAATTCCTAGTAAAAGTAAACATAGATCCAAAGTCCAAAGATCTGGCTGCAACACATTTCCTTGTAAATTGGTTCCGAGAATTTGGTGTTCAATCAAGGTAATATCTTGTACCCGATGAGTTTGAGTATTCTCATTACCAGTTTGCTGAAAAATGTAAGGATTTTATAGGGAGAAGTTCCGTATTAATCACTTCTAGGAGTTAAAGGGTTAAGTGCAATTTAAACATCCAAAAATTTGATATCAAAAGCCCAATCAAATAAATTAAGTTTATGATTGAGAAAATCAAAATAATGGATTTATCTTTTAGATATAATATGTGACACTATGATAAACACCAGTCACGTTTTAAACATATTCTCAGATTGAAGTTCAACTCGGCGTGAGATGTCTCGCAAAATTGTAACGCAGAATTGGAAGCTTTTGCCAAAGAAAAAACAAAAGCGTACGGAAAATTCCCTCAGAGCAAATGTTTAATTTTTGAAATATTTTACAAGCCAAAATTTCATAGCCATTTAGATAAAGGAAAAATTTCAATTAAGGAAACCTACAATCCTTGACACAATCAGTTGGGACTTTTCTCCAGAGCAACGTGTTTGATGTTCTTTCCTGTCTTTGTATCTTCCAATATTATTAATTGCCAATGTGTCTATGCCATCTTGCAGACTGACAGTGAGACAGGCAGGGGGAGGCAGTAGGTGTGTTGTAACATGGGACACCTAATTATGAAGACAAAGATAAAGATGATAACAATGATCATGATGGTGATAATGAAGAGAGTAATCGGACGAGCTATTTCAAACTGGCTGTGCGCAAAGCGAATAAGAAACTCCGCAAATAATTAGAGGAGTTACTCAATGATAAAAAAAGAGTGACAAACACCAGATACTCAATTTGTTGGTCTAATTATGTGATTCAAATATGCTTATGTCTTGTCACCTATTAATTATATATAAGTTACATCTAACCTCCTCTGGTGACGGGAAATCTGCAACACTGTAACCATTTCCCCGCTCAAAGTCAGTTTGTCTCTAAAAAAAACACAAAATGTTACCGAAATTGCATTTAATTGAAGGTATTGTCTATGGAGGAGAATTCCAAATTCAGATTTTTTAATTTTTTTCAGGTGATATTGGTGATATCCAGTCATAAAAGTATCCCTTAATCAATGATATTAACCATTTAACTTGAAACAATTTAATGGCAAGATCCGCGGCTTGCTTGTCATGTAACTAACCGTTTCCTGATGTGACAATCGCTCCATCGAAAAAGATTGAAGAAATAAATTGATCTTACTCTGGGTCTCATTCAGTAAACAGTGAAGCTCCTAACTCCCCTCGATTGTGCCGCTCATTCACACCTTTGGCTTCCACTCGCAAATAAATATTTCTGCTATGTTGGCCACTTACACCTTCGCAGCAACACTTTTTAAAGCATTCTGAAAATAAACAGCGCAGTATGAAGTACAAGAGGTTGAACGGCACGGGAACATTATTTATTCTATCGATCCATTCCAACCACATCTGAGTCCTTGTAAACTTCCACTCCACATCTGCGTTTTCCTGAGAATGAAGAAAAATGTGTTCTATTGCTTTAGCGAAACCTACATTAGTCATGATTCAAAAACACATTGCCTACAGTTGGTGCTCCTTAAGTTCGACATACCAAAATCATTTGCCACTAATCTTGTTGTTCCTGTGTGTGTATGTTTTTTTTTCTAAAGACTTTCAATTGTGGAAAGCCAATTAGATGTATTCTTAAAGTGTTTTTCGGAAAGAGAGCTATCAGTGACCAAGAGAACAAGTTTGAAAAGCTTGTGATCAGGCGATTATGTCTTTTGAATCTACGAGTAGCCGACGTATTTGGAACCATTGCCAAAGAAAAAAAATATTCACCATGATCCTGTTGAAAGAGTTGTTCATCATTGCGATCAGCATGTTCAAAGCTACAATGACTGTACAAATCACATGGGCAATAACAAAAAGGTGGCCAAAGGTGGAGGTGAGGGAAAAAGCGGGATCCTTAACCCAGATTTTGTCTTCTTCCACGAGACCAAGCAACAGCCAGAACATTTCGAGGAAGGTTTTTGTGTGCCTGAAAACAAATGAGACGAATACAAGATTTGAGAAAGAAAGGCTTGGTTGATGATTAGGTACGATAACCTCTGTCACTTTCAACGTAACTGAATCGTCGATCTTCTGTAAAGGCTCGGTTGACGCAGGACATAGGTTGTTACTTGTGACGGCCGAGTATTCATCTGAACATGACTAAACTGCTTTCTAAATTCAAATGATGGTCGTGTCTCCCTGGTGTTCAGCTTCTGATCGGGTGTGATGTTACTAGGTAATGTAAATTGGCCACCGTAAAGAGTTTCAAAGCTGGCGTTTCGAGCGTTAGCTCTTCGTCAGAGCGAAACGTCTAACGCTAACGTTCGAAACGTCAGCTTTGAAACTCTGGTGGCCAATTTACCTTATCAACTCAGTTGATAAAACCAAAATTATGTTATTATACTCCGCTACCGACGCAGCACCGCAGTTTCTTTAGAATCTTTCCCTCTCTATTCATTTATGATCTTATATATCTGACAAATGAGAGAGACTTTTACCGAAAAAAAATTAAAATCTTGTGAGATTTACGAGCTGTGAAGCAAACATAAGTAAGGTAAGGCAATTTGGTTCTATCAACACTTCGCTAAGGTAATCAATTGACCACTGTGAAGAGCTTCAGAAGCTGATATTTGGAGCATTAGCCCTTCGTCAGAGCCAATGAAGAAAAGATAACGCTCGAAATGTCAGCTGTAGAAGGTCTTTCTGGTGGCCAATTTACATCATCAACATATTAATTGTATGTTGACAGAACCAAATTATCTTGTAATGCCCCTCAACGACGCAGCACTACAGTTTTCTTAGAAACTTGCCCCCTTTGATTAGTATTGTATTTGCACAAGTATACGTACATTGCATATGGATGAGACACCTGGGGATGACTGGTGGCGTTCTGTTTATGCAGCTCTATCTGAGAGACGACATAGTACGAGTAAATCTTGGCCACGCCCGTGGTGAATGCTATATAAAGAAGAAGGAAGATGGCAAGAAACTTGAGGACATCTTTCAACATTTTATAGAGGGACAGTTGCAAGGGACCCAGCGTTGAATGGACTTGGAAAATGTGCGCCAAGTGGAAAAATGCCACCACAGAGCCACTGGCATAAATGGCGTCAGCCACGATAAACGCTTGTTTCTCAGGTTTCCACCCTCCGTAAGATCCCCATGCACCCACCCAGACTTTGTAGGACGACAGAAATGTGAAGACAATGACTGTGGCAACAACATTCCACCATTTTGAAAAGTAATTAAAGATGCCCTGCCTGCAGAGCTCGTTTAACTCCTGCAGAAGTAGACCAAATACAAAGGCAAGAACAGCGTAGTCTGTTAAAAAAAAAGCAAAGCTTTCAAGCTTTACCTAACACAAATTGACCTCTGTGCGACGGCTGGTTCTACTGAAAAATGTTGTCGTTATCCCTCCGAAACCAGTATGTGACGACATCACCTAAATTTAAAACTAAGCAGATGCTTTATCCAAATTGGAAAATTAACAACTGCATGATACGACTCATATATTACATGCCAAAAGGTTTCTTCACCATAAAATAGCTCTGAGTGCACTAAGATATTTGCGCTCTGGTATAATGTTTCCCTTATATTTTACTACTCCAGCCCGTGTTGCCTTCCCCTTTAGCCAAGCTCTCGCAAGAATGAAGCCAAATCTATCGTCACCCAAAGAATACCATACTCATCTTCTCATGTAAAATACTTTGGTAGTTTGATTATAAAGCTTCTTCTTAGCGACTCAAGCTAGAGTTTCTAATGAGCTGTGTATGTTTGGGGTGCTTGTCAGAACAAATGAAAATTGGTTACTCGTTAAAAATGAGCCGTTAAGAACTTCCGTGTGCTCCAAACTATCTGTGAAATCTGAAATTCTCTGTATTTCTTTTCCTACAGAGCGTGGCCGCAGTATCCCGTCTTATTGTTATAGCCTGTGCTGATTATCCATACTGTACTTACAGCTTTGAAGGGGTCTATGGAAACAAAGCCCTAGCAGATATCTTACTTACCAATTGTCACCATCTCAGGACCTTCTCGTGTTATCTTAAACTCATTCTGATAAGACGAGGCGAAGACTAGGCAAAGGAACAGCACGTAAGACATCGTCTGGTTGATGAACTTTGAATAGGGATGTTCGTAAAGTTTCCTAAATTTCCAGAAGCATCTGTCCTCAAATTGCCCACGACAGCGGCATCTGCGAATCAGTCGTAGAGGAATGTATACTATACTGGCGAGGGAGACAAGAAGAAATTGAACAAGAAACAACATAGCTTTTGTCATGAATCCTTCATCCCGCCACTTTCGCCAGCCAAGATAAATGATCTCATTGAGAATATACTGGCACTTGGGACTCGCCACGAACTGAAAATTAAAAACAATTCTATTATAAAACAGTAAATATATATAGAGTTCAAACAAAATATTAGCTTTAATCTGTCAAGTGAGTTATCTATTACGCTTTTTTTGGATAATGTACACTGAATTATATGCTAATTCGTTGCTGATCTTTCTATGGAGGCCCTTTTCAGTGCATATTCAAAGGGATTTGATAACTGCGTGCTTTTTCTTTAGTCTCCTTCGCAGCAGTTGTTTAGTCTTATCACGCAACGAGCTCTATTCCCCACGACGAGAGCAAACAACGGCTGTGAAGGAGACTTCTTGCCTTTAGGAATTAAAAATACCCGAAAAGGCTAAAAATACTGATATTTCGATCGCAGTTTGAGTTTTTTAGCGTATTTTGAGTGAAAATGTTTAGACGTTATGGTTCATTGATTTCTTAGGCATAGGTCGCACTTGGCAAAGTTTTACGAGAATTTGTTTACCTTGCGGTCAAAATCTATCAACGAGACACTTTTCCTAGTGCGACCCTAACTTTTAGGGTTTGTAAGATTTTTGGAAATCGGCAAAAACATCAAAGGTGCCGTAGTGCTTGGCTGGGGCAGGCAGATTTCGGAAAACTCGAGGTTACAATAGCAAAAGGACGATGAGGACAGGAAAATGGTTAAATCTGCCTTGTTAGGACTTGAAACTTAACGTTCTGACATGAATTCTTTCGTAACCAATTTTTCCAGACTACAAGAACCCGCGATCAAACGATAATACTGTTATACACTTATTTTACTTCACGTGAATAAATATTTCAAAGTTTAACCTTTGACGTCATTTCTTAGAGCTAGTCTACCGAGATCATTTTCATTTCCCGGAATTTGAACAAAAGCGAATTTGTTTTGTGGGTTCTTCGAAACGGAAACAACAGGAAGCTAGTTTACCATAACTATATATTTCACTTTCTGTCAAAGTGACATTTTTGTCGTTTATAGCTATTTTAAAACGGTTGAATCTGCAATCAAAGAACTTCAAATACTGTATTTCAATAAACTTAAAAAGTTTTGACAATCTTACCAACTTCCGCTGTTTATCTGCTGCTTTCTTTAACAGACTGAGACTTTGAATAAAATCTTTCGGCGTCTCATTTAGTAATGGTCCTTTTCCTTCGATATCAATGATTTTATAAAGCTGTGAGGCACCGGCTTGCTCGATGATATCAACGGCAAATTGTTCATATTCCTTTGCACGACCCAAGTATTCATCTCGGCTGTAGTGATGTTCATAAGCGGCCACTTTCTCAAGAAGGTAAGAATCGTCAAGGGCTGCTTCAATTACGTCTGTTGACTTACTTCCTCTGCGTCTGGTTCGTTTGTTTGTTTCTGGGTTTGTTTGTTGGTTTGACTTGGGATTCATTCTCCAGAGATATTCTAGACTAATATACAGCGGGTTGCTCAGTACTCTGATCCAAGTCTGTTCTTCTTCGCTTGGTATTCCTTCCTTTTGATCGCTATCGTCCTCAATATATGAGAGTGTGATCCAGCTTTTTATTGAGCAGAACAAGGTACACAGTTTCCCACAAGAAAAATGAAAGACACATTTCCAAGAGCACCCATCCTCTTTAATGTTCTCCTCTTCCGCGATGGATCTCCACACATCGCTTAGGCCTTCAAGTATGGCATCCTTATCTTGCTCCTTGGTCTCGACTATCAGTTTCCATACTTCAATAACGTTCCTCTTCTGGAGAGCGTTTTCAAGTTGCTTCAGAAGAGGATTCTCTGGATTCTCGTTATCCGTTCTTATACCGCGCGACAAGAAATTATTTACCTCTGCCTTCGTTTCTGTCTTTATTTTAAACAGAAAATCATCGAAGCTTTTACTTTCTGGCTGAACTGGTTGGATATCTGGTGGATTGCACTGCGCCATATTGTTGCCATCAATGGCACACCCACAACGGAAATAGTTGGGTTAGTATGTGTAGAGTTGCACTTGTGTCTTCCGTTGTGGTTATGTCCTCACACATTATAACCAATAGAACGCAGTTTTACTTCTTCCAATCAAAGTGCGTTGTGATCGTGTCTCCTGCGTGTCACTTCCCAACTAGGGGAGGGATGCAAAGCAAAAGTGTAAAAAGATCGTTAAGATTTCCGCACTCGAAGTTTGAGAATTTCATGGGCTATCCTTGACACCTTTTGGGGCGCTTCGGATTGGTGAAAGAGTAAGATTCTGGTTGCGTTTTAAAGTGCGAGGTATTTGGGAAATTTTCTTCCATACGTTGGAAAGCCTAGGAAGACGAGAATTTGACATTGCCTCATGGCTTTCCTTACTTTTCTGTTGGAGCTAGTACAATAAGGTGAGGTTTTCGTTGCACTTCATGTTAGTATTTTTTTAAATTTTAAATATTACAACCATTCTTCAAAGATCGCGTTCAAGTTTTGTGCTAAATTCCAGTAGATTTCATGTAGCGCGCGGCATGATACCTGGATTCATTGAATCCTTCTGTGTCGAGGACTGACTTTTTTATTTTGTTTGGGACATGTAACACCAGATATTACTCGTCGATTAAAAAACAGGACAGCTCTCGGTGTTTCAATGATCAAAAACTTGTGATTTTCTTCCAGCCTCAATAATTTGTATTATGTTGCATGTAGCAGTCTCATAGTGTCTACACTGGTGGCTATTATGGGTACAGTGGAAGACATGTATTCATTGTAAATGTATGGGGCTACGCAAAAATTCAGCTAGGATGTATGGTCGATGTTAAACTTCACATATCCTGGAAAGTTAACTTACAAACTGCTTCTACATATGATGAAGATCTGGTCTCTTATAAAGGATAGGGTGCTGGCTCCTAACGCTCTGCAACAAGTCGGTAACAGTTGGGTCATCATTCTCTTTGCTCACCCAGAAGGGCACAAATTTGCAGCAAAATTACTCATCACTTAATAATATGTGCTTTTCTATTTAGATCAGTGGCTGACATATGCCACTTTCTTTCTTTTGATCTATTTATAATAAAGCCCCTTGAACTATATACCACAATGATATGTATTTTGTTACCACATTTTACATACTTTTTCAATTGTGTGTTACAAACATTAAAATGAAATAAATACTAATTCATGCACAAATGAATACTTAATTCAATACAGACTATTGCCCATTATTAGCGATTATTGCTCCTACGCTTGTTAGCAAGAACTTGGTCTTGTTGGCGTTCATTGTGAGTGTCTGGTAATCCATATATCAATGAATGGAGACACTCTCTGCAACTATCTTTGTGAAGAAAATACTAATCCTTTCACCCTTACTTAATATCATTCATACAGGCATGGATGAGAACCAGCAGCAAAGCAAAGTAAACAAAAGTGCAGATGAAAGGTATCTGTTGTGCTTGTCCTTGGTGTAAAAATCAGTTTCCTTTGGTTTTGTTAATGATATGAATGAAAATGCATTTTGTGTAGAGAAAGATAAAATTTAGCTCCTAGCCTAAGTTATGGTGAGATGATATGTCACTATCAATTTGGCCTCTTTTAAAAGTAAAAGAATAAACTAAGGATAAAACTAAACCACAGCATACCATACTAAACCCTCAGCCTATTTGTATCATTATTATTATTTTTTCTGGTGTTTACCCAATAGATTCAATCCACTTACAGACAAAGATGGTGCCTGTAAATTTTACCTTTATTCTTAGGGTAAGACACATGTAGAAAGCAATATTTCACAAAACGACAACATTATGTATGCAAATTTTAAATTTTTCCGATTTTTTGTGCTTGACTTTTTGAGTGGTTCCAGGATTTTCTTGTGCAAAGAGTTCTAGGTGAATGTACCAGTCACCATGTTTTTTGGTACGATGGTTTACATTGATTGCTGTGCTCTACATTCATCATTGAAGTACCAATTAATTCCTTTGCCATCAGTAATTGCTTTAAATATACTGTGTCAGAAATCACAGCACTGTGCCCCAAATTTAATGTTGTCCAGGGCACAATTTCATATTTTTGAGCAAGGCAAAGGTACACATCTACAAGACAACATTACTATATATATAATGTTTATATAGTTCATTATGTAAAAGCTACTCTATTCATTAAATCAGTGTCAACACTCTCCCTCACTCTCCCTTGTAGCAGATATAATTTTTAGCCAACTTGAGAAATAGTGGCCTAAAATGGACATCCAAACTTTTAAATTTCCAGGGAAAGGTTCCCCAGACTTCGCTATCCAAGTGGGAATAAATGGCTGCCACACTGTCATTTTTTTCCCTCCCAGCTGCTCAAATGTTTTCCCTCCTTTCCACAATCTTACCAAAGCCCCCATATGTGTAGTAATAAAAACATTGAAGTGTAGTGTGCTATCTCAGCAAGAGATGATAATCATTCCCCATTTTAAGTGAGTCATCCTAGCAGATGTTTGGTGAGGTATTACATTCTGTGCTCAAAATCTAGTTCACATAGACCTGGGGAAACAGAATAGGGTGTAATAGTCAGGTCGGTGAATTGCTACAAGCTTTAGTTTGGTACCACTACTCATTTGGTTATCCATTTGGTTATCTATCTTGCCAGTAATCTTTCTGGTTATTTGGGTTTTTTATGGAACCTCTTCCCATCAAGAAGAAGCATGGTATGTGTTTGAAAGTTGATAGAAAAAAAAAAAAAAAAAAAAAAAAAAAAAAAGGAAATAGGGGAGGAACAGGATGGTACCAAAGACAGTGGTACATTTTTTTTTGCAGGGGGTAGTTTTTTTATTTTTGAATTAGGGTTCTAGCCTAAGTATGTCTAAGTTTCTACACTTGTTTATTCTTGTGATTTCTTGCTTTAGGAAGTGAGGTAAAATTGTTTGAATTTGTTTTTTCATTACAGCCACTTGAGTCTGTAAATGGAAAGAAAACACTGAAAAATGATGGTAAGGAACACATTGCTTGCACTATAAAGTACTGAAAGTAATTTGTAACTCTCCATATTTGTTATTTACAATTGATATGCTTTGCACAGCTGTTGTGTGATAAGTGAAGAATTAGTTAACTGTATCTCAAAAATTAAATCACTTTAAACTGCAGCGAAAGCTATTACTTTTATAGTTATAAAAGTATCAAAGGTAACCTCTCTAAGAACCTTCCCTAGTGTCTGTGTTATAGAGGTATCCACTAAATATAGGTTAATTTATTAGGAAATGTGGGAAGAATAGTATGCAACTGAATGATGCAAGTTTCAGCCAGTTGAGGGTTCTTGCATTTTTTATTGTGGTGCTAATGGTGTCTCAGTCAATTGCTAACTTAGTATTTAAGTACTAGTTGTGCTTGTTGATTATTTGACTTTCCCTAAATGTTTTTTATTGGTGTAGCCAAAAGAAAAAGTTTGTGAGGCCATGCTTTAAAAAAATGACAGGAAGGCCTTAATAGCTTACTTAGATCTTTATGAAGATTGAGGGTTATTTTATTGGCAGTTACATGTAAAGATAGGTTGCCAGGGCCACTTACTAGGAGAAGATTTATAAGTTAAAAATACTATATTTGAGCTCAAATTTTACACAGACATGATTCAGGTATGATGGAAATTTAAAAGCACATTCTAGTCTCATTCATAAGCAATGCTATATACTCCACAGGTGTCAAATTTATTAAATTTTGTGTTCAGAATTACTGTTGGCCTTGATATTTTTAACATTATGTAACATTTAACATTATATAACATTGTTTTTAACAAACAATAAAATTTTTTGGTTTTGATCTGAGCAATTAAAAACATTGTCTTGTTTCCAAGGTTTCCAAGGAAGGTTTCTTCACTTCATGCCTGGGTCGCCCCTTATGTATATTATTCTGTTTTACAGAAAATAACAGTCAACTCGAGCAGGAAAACTCCAATCAGCCTAGAGAGGCCAGAAAATAATTGTGCTTAGAAATAACAGTTACCTCCAGCTGGAAAACAAAAATGACAGAACAGCTTGCAGGGGCTGGAAAATACAAGTAAGTACTGTAAAAGAATATTTATTCCTTGCTGGTAATCTCAGAACAGCTGTGTAGGGCTGGAAATTAACATTACTGGAATACAACAGTTAACTCCTGCTGAGAAACTGAGAACAGCTGAGAGGGGCTGGAAAATAACAGTGCTGGAATACAAGAGTTATCCACTGCTGGAATTCAGAAACAGGAAACTTTTAAATACTATGCTACAATACACTGAGCATGCAATAATACCTTCCATTGCCTCAACTCCAGTTACTTGTAGAAAGGTCATCTCTGAACCATTAAATAGGATCTGCTTTACTAGTTATGTACAGTTTGAAATACATTAATGAAAGAAAAAATCTTAACCCTTTAACCCTAAGAGTGGCCAGCCTCTAATTTCTCATTACAAAATCATCCCTGATATCACCCCACATCCCACATGAATCAAGGAAATGACCAACAACCTATAAAGCTCTTGATTTTTGAACAAATTCTCCTTGTCAACAGTTCAGGAAATGTATAGAGAACCGTACGGAGAATATGCCTACTGATGTTAGGGTATAAAGGATTAATCAGTGAGTGTATGTTAAAGGTAGCGATCATAGATAGCTAGTACTTATTTACAAATACTATATTTTGTTTTGCAGATTGTAGCTTCAATGGATGCCAGAAATATGTTGATGAAAAACTGGCAGATACTGTTTTGCACATCGTGCTGGTAAAGACAGCAGTGCAAGAATAGGTGAAGATGGAATCAAGAAATGCAAAACAGGAGTGAGTCCATTTAGTACTGGAAAAACCATGGAAGAGGTTTCTGCTGGTTTTGGTGTTGCTTTTCCTGGTGAGTATGAATCAGGAGATTTTGAGGAGGATTATGACAATATTAATGATGATTTATTTGTTACTGGACAAAGACACAGCTGTCAAATGAAAACAATATTCAAGGTAGTTAATAATTATGTTGACCATTTTC